GAAGCAATTTTAGCTGCTTCTAATGATCTCACCAAATTTGAATCAAAGAAATTCAGGTTTTGGGTGGGAGTTCTGATCTTCCATCATTGTATCAATCATGAGTTTTTGATGTAATAGTTTAAGAAGCAGCTACCAGAATAAGCAGTGAGAAACAGCTCACTCTAGTTCTGATTTCACAAGAAGCGAAGCTGAAACTGGGAAAGAGGATGTTTCATAATTAAAAAAAGCCATCTCTGCTTTAGAATATCTACACCACTAGAATCTTACAAAAGTCCTAAAGTAACTGAACATAATTAAGTGGAATGAAAACTTCTTTTGGAGAATATGCCTCAGAAAGATTTGTTTTTAACTCTACAGTGAAATTTTGCCCGTGAAAAGATGTGATATCAGAATATAGAACATAGAAGCTAGAAGGGATCTTGAAGGAGTCTCTCCTCAAGGCAGGAGTCCTTATTCCATCCTGAATAAATGGTTGTCCAGTGTCTTCTTGAAAATCTCCAATGATGGAGCACGCATAATTCCAGGAGGCAAGCTACTCCATAGATTAATTGTTCTCACTGTCAGAAAATTCCTTCTTAGTTCCATATTGGGTATTGGGTATATCTAGTTTAAATGGGTATGTCTAGTTTAATGAAAAGAAGGACTAGGGGTGATATGATAGCAGTGTTCTAATATCTCAGGGGTTGCCACAAAGAAGAGGGGGATCAACCTATTCTCCAAAGCATCTGAAGGCAGGACAAGAAGCAATGGATGGAAACTAATCAAGGAGAGAAGCAACTTAGAATTAAGGAGAAATTTCCTGATTGTTAGAACCATTAACCAGTGGAACAACTTGCCTCCAGAAGTTGTGGGTGCTCCAACACTGGAAGTTTTTAAGAGATTGGACAGCCATTTGTCTGAAATGGTATAGGGTTTCCTGCCTGAGCAGGGGGTTGGACTAGAAGACCACCAAGGTCCCTTCCAACTCTATTCTATGTTCTATGTATTATTTAGTGTATTATATTTGCTATTGCAATTCATGAAGTAATGACTAAAGCTGTCTTTAATTATCCTGCTGAGTCAAGAGATACTTTTAAGGGGTATACATTAGGTCTATTTTTTTAGGTGTATAAGGGTCACTTCCTTTCCAACCTTTATCTGTTGCATGGTGGAATCCAAGAATTTCAACTTTCATTCCAAAATCAAATAACTTCCAAGGGACTGGAATAACTCTGTTCCCAATTGTGGTTATACGTCAGGGGCTCTCTTATTCCATTTTTCATGGTACAATCCTCTCTCTCTGGAACTGTGCATGCCTCATGGCTTCCAAATTAAATTGGAATTTTAATTAAATCCAAAAGAGACATTCTGTTTCAACTGGGAATGGATTTTTCCAACTATACATAGGTATGCATAATCAGAAATGCTATGGAGTTACGGGAAACTAAGGACAGAATATTCCTTCTACCATCTCTCAAATAAGTTTAAAAGTTCCATGAGGAGACAGGAGAAATTCTCAAGCACTCTAAGAATAGGGTAGAAAAGCAGAGACATCTTTTGCAGAAGAAGGCAGTTTACAACAAAATCTTCATGTAGATTTTGGAACATTAATTACTATGACGCTACTGACTCAACTATATTTACATCGGAATACTGTCCTGTTCTTGGACTTGTAGAGTCTGAATGTTTTCTAACTATACTTCAAAATTCTATGTCTTCAACAAAGAAGTGATTCTATAGATAAGGGTTTTGACCAAAAAGAGTAATATGACCTAGAACTTGTCAAGTTAGTCTAGAAGAGATGTCCATTGCAATAAATGATCTCCAGTTGAAATTAGTATGCCTATTCAGGTTATTGATTAACTATACATTTTTGAAATATGTGAATCCTAAATGAAATAAAGACGACCTTGATATCAAGTTGAAGACAGAGAAAGAAAAGAGAGCAAAGTGTTAATGAAGCCAAAGGTCACTATTAATTACTAACCTATAAATAAGTGGCAATAGATAGATTGATTGTCCCTCTGAAGATGTACCACAGTGACACACCTTAGTACAAAAACCTACCTTTACTTCATTGAAGATTTCAACAGTAGATCATTGAGACCTACTGGGGTCAACAACTTATCAGTCTTGATCTTACCTAGCATTCAAGTAGACTCTTGAAGAACAATTGTTGATACTCTTCAAGTTTTCTAAACAATCGTAGTTCCACAGAGAATTTAGGAATGAAAAAAAAGTGTACAGTACTTACTTCATTCGTGTTGACTTCTATGATCACAATTCACCATCAGTGTAGATCCAGTCTCAATTGGAGATGATGCCTTTATGACTGGAAGAAACATGGAAGACCTGTACAGTTTATCAATGCATATGGAAGAACCCAATCTAAGAGACGTAGAATATGTTTCTCTAGTGAAGTCTTACTCATATCTTTGTAGGGCAGTGGTTCTCAACCTGTGGGTCGGGACCCCATTTGGGGTCGAACGACCATTTCACGGGGGTCGCCAAGCAACGCAGTCCGCCATTTTTTTCCCCTTTTCCTTAGCTGTGCTACTCCCTTTTATTCTATTGGCTTTTGAAAGCCAATAGAATAGACTCTCTTGAATAGACTCTAATTCTATTGGCTTTCAAAAGCCAATAGGAATTGTCCAGGCTGTCTCTGCCCTGCTGAGCCCATCAAAAGCCCCAGTCTGCAAACGGCGCTGCACCAGTTGAGTAGTCCTTGACTTACGACTGGTTGAGTAGTCCTCGACTTACGATCGGTTGGGGGTCGCGGCATTAAAAAGGTTGAGAACCACTGTTGTAGGGTGTTTTGTTCAGATGGTTTCTTATAAATCAAATCTAATGTACTAGACCATTGTTTGTGAAGTGCTGTTTAACCCTTGGGAGAGGAGCGTCAATGCTAATTAATTAAACAATGCATTTAGTGGCAGAAGATTATAGTTTTTTGTATAAAACAACGGCATGTGGCTCCAGTAATGAATTGTTCTGTTCCTAGAATTCATGGGAAGAATGTCAGTTTGCATTGTTTTTATGGAATTTTGTTGATGTCCATGTCCATCTGGATGTCTTTTGAAATCTCTGGAGATATCTGTTAAACTGTGACTTCCATAGCCCTTCGTAAATGTAGATTTTTATAAATAGACTTATGAGGAGATGACCATCGGGCATCCATTATAATGGATCCATGGCATTTGACTGTTCACCCGAAAGAGGTCAAATAGGTTCCCATAAATTTCATTGGTAATCTTTTATGAGAGACCTACAGCTAAGCTAAGAAGTTAATGGCCTCAGAAGAATGGAGGTATCCCTGGAGATAGCCCAAACACCTTGAAATTCATTATCCATAACCTTAGATGGAATATATATATATATATATATATATATATATTTGTTTTCTGAGGTTTTCGCGGGTGTTTGTATGTAGGTCTTTGGTTGTTCGGGTTTTCTCCCGCGTAAAATTGGAAGTGTCTTGGCGACGTTTCGACGAAGTCCCATTCGTCATCTTCAGGCTGGTGTTTTCAGCTTCGTGCTTCGAGCAGCAATGTGTGGTCTTAGCTGTTTCTTCCACACCATCTGAGCACAACCACATAGTATTGAAATCTGCCTATTCATAGAGTTTTTTTCTCTCCAAAAGCATCCATTGATTGCTCAACCATAGCTAGGTTGCAGAAAGAAAGTTATCTTGGATAAACGTTGAATGTTAGGATTCTTGATTATATTTTTAATTGTAGTTTTGAATGATTTATTTGAGGCACACAGAGTCTTTCTGGAGTTAGGTAACTTTACAAAAGGCAATAATAATTCTATAAATAAGAATCTAGAACCCCATACTTTTTGCTTCTTTCGCCTTTATATGATTAATTATTATAGGATTGGGATTATTTAATCCTAATCTATAGGATTAAGGACATAATAAGAGTTTTTTATGTAAGGATTCATATGCTGGGTGCCTGGTGGCTTCTTTCACCTTTACAGGTCTGAAATTATTGCAGGATTGTGATTATTTAATCCTAATCTATAGGATTAAGGATGTAAGGAGAATTCTTTGCATAAGGATTTATCTCATATACTGACTGCCTGGTGGCTGTCCCTCCAGAAAAGCCCACCCAAAAGCCCTTAATGGTCCAAATCAAAAGTCAATGGGCAACGTAGAGAAGAGCAGGACCATAGATTAAAGCCTTAATGATGTGGTCAGCTAATTTCTAGGTTGCCCTCGAAGGAAAGAATTAAGATAAACTTAATTAAGAAGTTGGAGAAGAGACAGTTTGAAGGTAGAAGTTCAAATGAACTATTATTCAGACTTGATTGCTTTTGGTTCAAGGATTACTTTAGATCATTGAAGAGCACCAGGTATACCCATAAGTAGTTAAACCAAACCATCCCCACTCTTTAGGAGAAATTGCATTGCATTTAGAGATGGATGAAGATTCTGTGTATGTGAGTGAGATAATTTAAAGAAGCTCCATCAACATTTTCTTCTCTGCACCTTCTGGAAAATCTGGAACCCGAACTAAATTGGTTTTCACCACTAAGGGTTGTCCAACTAAGCTTGTATCTTGGATCTGATGAGCCCTTGAGAATGAAAAAGCCTTGACTGATGACCGCAGCTGAGCCCAACATTTGCTAAGTGAATTTTGCCCTGTTTTATAAGCTTTCTCGCCACAGTTGCTAAGTAAATCATTGTAGTTGTTAAGTTGCTTAACAACGGTTATTAAGTAAATCTTTGCTTGTCAGGAGGTTGCAAAAGAGGATTGCATGACCCAAGGACACGGCAACCATCATAAACATGAACCAGTTGCCAAGCATCCAAATTTTGATCGCGTGATCAGAAAAAAATACTGCAATGGTCTTAAGTGTGAAAAATGGTCGTCAGTCTCCTTTTTTCCAGTGCCATTGTAAATTTGAATGGTCACTAAACAAATTGTTCTAAGCTGAGGATTGCCTGTACATTGATTTAGCAGAATTCAGCATCTATTCTAAATGTAATTTCATAAAAAGAACAACAACAGCGAGAATGAAATGTACACATCTTTATTGAACTTCTAAAGGTAGAAATGAAGAGGACAATGGGAGGTGGATAGATTTCAACGGGAGGCTACAGACTGTGACTAGATGATGCAGAAATAGATGTTATTGATCAAACTAGAATCAGCAAAGGAAAAAAAAAAAGAGAGAGAGAGCGCTGGAGTAGGGTCAGAGGAATTCATGATGGAGTTAACAACTTCCAGACCTTGACACAGTCTTCACATGGGTGTTTTCTCCATGCCTCACTTCACAGGGGTAAGCATCATGCTTTTCATAATCCGATGCGCTCATTGTCAGGTAACTGCTGGCAAAATATTTGTCACCTTGCTTATTGGCTTTGGTGGTCTCCACTCCAGAGGTGATCTCTTGATTATTGTCACCCTTCCATTTCAGGGTAAAGCCAGGTGGGTAAAAGTTGCTTAAGAGACACAGCATGGTGGCCTTATCCAGGCTTTTGATCTCTTCCTGAGATGGAATATAGACATTCAAAGTAGGTGATACTGTGGGTTAACCTGGAAGAAGAGAAATCATTTTAAGCTTTGAGGAATAAGAGCAAAGCCTGATCAGATTCGTAGGCACATTTCAGTCCGATCCTAAATCCCTGGGCAAGTTGGAGACCCATAACTGCTCTTGGGCCTCTTGTTTTTTTTTGTTCTTCTTTTTCAATTACCCAGGTAATCATTATTTTTGAAGGACCTCAGGACACAACAAAGCATCTCAAAATGGACATTCAGACAGGGCTTTGATAAGGAAGTCAGATTTATTGTGTAAAAACCCAATTGCTTATATAAAATCAATTAAGGCAGAAACCTCTTTGAGATACAAGTTAGAACTTACTTTCAGAAGGAAAAATACTTAAGAGATAACAGGTGACCATTTTGAACTATTTCTACCTGAATATGATTCCCAGACAAGGTATGGTGACAATGAAAAGCAGTCAGGAAAGTAATAATCTGAAAAATAACATCTGGAGCTAGACTAGTAAGTGCTTAGAGATAATGGGAGCTCTCTATCAAGTAAGTAAGTGCTTGTAGCTGAAGAGCGTTGGAAAATAAAGGAAAAAAATTATGATGCAAAAAATAGTTTGGTCCAAACTAATTGATAATGATAAGAATATATTAGGGTGATAGATGGGAGAAGGCTGATCCTTCTTAAAGAGTATTCAAAGTGCCGGTTTTATTCCAGTTAGTTGGTGGCCAAATAGATGATCTCAGAAAGAGTCCTTTAGTCATCTTGTAAAGTACTTTCTAAACCTGGAATTGAATTGGTAACACAACTCTGCTGATTCTGTGATTGCTCCAGACTTTTCACAACTCAGACAACTCAACTTTTCTATGGCATTAATGAAAGCACTCTACCATTTCCTGGCTAAGGACCTTCTTCTCAACATGCTGATTTTGTACATGCAGGAATGTTCATTCCCAGTGAATGAAAGAGCTTATCTTGTTAAGGTCTGCTAGACCAAGAAAAAGAGGAAAAAGGTCATGGAGAAGCTTTACAAAATGCTATGGAGAAGGAAAGATTAGAAGGATAAATGGACTTACCTGTGACGATTAATTGGGTTCCACCTCCGAAGATGAACCACAGTGACATACGGCCATACAAAAACCTCCCCTCATTTTCACAACAGTTCATTGAAGATAGATCCCACCTTGGACAATGAACTGGGTTTCATAAAAGTTCAAAATGGATCTGGAGCAAATGTCGTATTCCGGAAGAACAAAAATGATGAGGTGTGAGTGGTTCATACTTGGACATCACGGAAGCCATTCATGGACAAGGAGATCATTCAAGAAAATCCAATGGATGCAGTCCCACTGATAAGTGAAGAAAACAGGCCAGATCAGAGCCATCGTTCATTTTTACGCTAAATTATACAGAAGAGTCACAAAATAGCTTCTAGTGATATAGCCAGTTGTAGAACACTGAGAAGTGTTGGCACTTTTGTCTAAATTAAAGTGGTTTCTTATAAATTAAGGCACTAGATCATTTTGGGGTGTAAGGACCTCCCTGATTATCAGTAGGGAAACTCTTCCAGAAGTTTTAATTAATCATATAATGAACATGTTGGCAGCCCAGGGAAGGTTACACCTGGGTTTTTATTAACTAGAATTCAGGAGACATACTGTAATTTCCACTAAAAGCATAATTTTCTACTAGAATTCATGGGGAATGGATCAACCTTTACATTCCTTCTGTGGGCAGTTCCTCTTTGTCTGTTTATTTGTCTTCTTACGGCCTTAGTTGTACAGATGCTGAAATGTCAGTTCCATAGTTGTGTATATGCAACAGGCTATTGGGAATTCATTTATTTCTGATTAAAATTTATTTATTTTATTTATTTAAAACATATATATAGCCTTGTGGCTCCCAACTGATGTATCTAGTCTATCTGAATTCCATCTGTTGCAAGACAAACAGGTTGTGATTACTTAGGACCATATCCATAGATTTACGCTGGAGCACATGCGAATTGGCAGTGAAAACTCAGAAAGAAATGAAATTCACGGAATGATAACAATGGTGTCATTATTGATCAGCATGGTGGCTATGTGTAGTATTGGCCTCCATGTTGTTGTGATGATAAATGGAGATGCTTGTACTCCATCAGCTTTATCTAATAGATCTTAGGAAGGGGAATAAAATCGGGCAAATTCTTTGGGCAAAGTTAAAGAAAGGCTTGATGGCCCTTGATACATTTCATAATTTGATTGAGGATAGGTCACTGTATGGAATGCTACCCTTGAGATCCTTGTGGTCCATCCCTTAGGCATGAATCAGTCCTCCTGCCAACCTAGATGCCGTGGCATTTGTAAAATCAAAAAGTCACTTGTGAAGTCTTTTCCTTAAACTTTGTTATGAAGAGGGATAATTTTACATTGAGGGGCTGCCTTATTGGCATTAAATGCCAATAGCAGCCTGGTTTGGAAACACTTAAAGCCTGTCTTTATAAACTTGGTTGTTCCTTGTCTCTGAAGAAAGGATTCATAACAGTGCTTTTGTGTTTTCCAGGTCCAAAATAACACCATCTTCCAGAAAGTGCATGCTGATTGTTAAATGAGGTGAACCTCCATGTGGTGAAAGGAGTTTGGTATAGACATGAGAGGTCCTAGATGTTCTAGAAGTTCTTCTAGATCTGAAAAGTAAGATTACCCTCAGCCCAGGTTAACCTCCAAATAGTTCCTGATTGGTTATCCTAGACACCAAAGGTTTCAATACGATCTAAACATGATCTATCATTGTTTCTCATCCATCTTGTACCTTTGAGATATATTGGGTCAGCAATTTCCAAAATTCCAATACACCATGACCAATTTAATATATTCCAGTAAAGTTGAAGACACTTATGAGAAATGTCTCATTCCAAGCACAATAATGCATGGTGATATCCTCATGTTCATCAGGTTCTGAGCAACAGTGGCAGAGTGTGACTTTTAATCTTGGAACCTTTTTTCCCAGATCAGGTTACTAACTGGCTTTCTGTGTTTAGAAAAGCTTAAGCGTCTGAGGAGACAGGTGGAAAGCTTGTGTTTTCATTTAAGAGTGTTTAGATTTCATAGGCGGTTTCTCGTGATGGTAAAATGTGAAAAGCCTAATTTATGCTGCTTTCATGGACACAGAGAGAAGATAAAAACTGTAGGTGGGAAATCAAAATCTTAATTCAACCCATTCTGGCCCCAGGTTTTATTCTATACATTCCCAAGTCTACTATCCTCAATGTAATACACTATCATTTGGAACTAGAGGGGGAATCACTTGTGTGAGTGGATAAATATACAAAAACATCACAGTATCTGAAACTAGATGCGCCCTTTCTTCAGTGACAACGGATTCAGCTCTCTCCTTCTTAATATTGGAGCTGGCTGATATCTGTGAGGAACAGAATGTTGAAACCATAAAGCCTTGTCCTCCCACAACTACTCCTCCTAATAAATTCGGCAAAACAATCACGCAAATGAAATACATCCATCTTTATTAATGTTCTGACAGTAGAATCTAGCAGATCAAGAGGGGGGAATCGATTTGAAGGGCGAAGGCATGGAGGGGGTACAAAGAGTGTAACTACATGGGATAGAAAGAGACACTATGGATCACACTAATGTTTAGGAAAGAATGAATGAGAGCCCAGGAAAAGGGACTCCTGTCTCCTGCTGAATGGCAGGAGAGGATACATGACGGAGTTAACAACTTCCAGATTTTGACACGCTCTTCACAATGGTCTTTCCTTCATGCGTCACTTGACAGGTGAAAGTGCCACATTTTTCATAGTCAGACGCACTCAATTTCATGTAACTGCTGGCAAGGTTTTTGTCCCCTTGCTTGGTGGCCTTGGTGGTCTCCACTCCAGATGTTATCACTTTATCATCACATTTCCATTGCAGGTCAAAATTACGTGGGTAAAATTCGCTCAGGAGACAGACCACGGTATGTGGGTTCGGGCTTCTGATCTCTTCCTGGGAAGGAGCAAAGACTTGCACCGAAGGAGATACAGTGGGCAGACCTGGAAGAGAGGAAGATCTCATGAAGTTCCACACTGCATCTTAAAAGACAAGTAACTAGATTGATAAATGTATAGACAGTTTCCCTCATCAAGACTGCAGGGGAGGGAGTGGGGAAAATATCAAGGCAAAATTTCTCAAAATAGTACGTTGATAAGATGGTAAAAATCATGAGACCTCCTTCTTAAGGGAGAGAAAAACATTATTTAAAAGTTAGAAGAGATATTCTAACACCACAGGGGGCCATTATGTACCATGGACAAAAGAGATTCCTATTGTTTGGTTTAGGAGCCTAAATAAAACTCTTATTTTAAATGATTTGTTCTCCAAAATCATTGGCAGTCTACCAACAATTCTTGTAGTTAGTTCTGTGAACCAGAAATTCTTTCCATCAAAGTAAGATTTCCTGCATGTTCCCACTTAGGAATATCTACAGGTATCCTCAGGGGACTCACTTTCCAAAATTATTTCTCTTAGAAGAACATTTCGAAGAGCAATAATTTTCTGATTATTTTAATCTTGCTTGAGCAACAATTATTTTTCTTTGCATTTTGTGGAAGAGAAATGGGACTGCATCAAGAAAACATCTGGACAAAAACAGCATTGCTTAGAGAGAAGTACAACTTGTAAATGAATTAGATTTTTTTAGAAAAAAATTCTCTATCATGCCCAGAGGAAGATTAGAAACTAAGTGTCTTCTATCTATGCAGATTGCTTACCCCCATGTTGGTTTCTCTCTCTCTACATGTGTGAGTTTGAGAGAGAGGAAGAGAAATAAATTATTTCTAGTTCCTGAATGCAGTGATGTTCTTTCTCTGTGCTGGAATAGTCAATTATGTGAGCTGAAGTATGAATCCTTTTCCTAGCAAACACATTTTGACTGCACAAGAGAATTAAAGGGCAGAAATAGAGTTGAGTTTCATGGAATGCATTGATGCCAACCCAACTTTCCAAAAACATTCAAACTCAATGGTTCAAATGTTTAGAGTTGAGTTTCATGTCAACCCAACTTTCTAAGAACATTTAAACTCAATGCCAAAGAAAATGTGGCCCAATCTGCTAACCCAGATTTCTTTTTACATTTTGTGCAGAATGTCTTAGAGATCTGCAATTTATGTTAGATTCCAACAGGATGAGAAATGACTTGAAAAACTATTCTGAGTTAGTTCCCATAGCCTGATATTGATGAAATGTTCTTTTGATCTCCTTATTCCATGTCACTGAATTGAAAGAATACATATGACATGCGTGCCATCAGTAACATTTCCTGTAGATGTCCCTCGCAAAGTCATCTTACTCTTTATAAGAGGTTACTCATTTTTCCCACCCAGTTAATCAATTGTTTAAGGGATCTATCTCAAATGATCCTCTGAAAGAAATATATTGGATTTAAACTTTTTATCATTGGTTTAATGCATGCAGGAGAAAAATAACCAAACTCTGAACATCTGCAAAAGAGATAACATCAAAATTTCTAGTCCTTTACTTGCATACTATGTTACTTATCTGTGTTAAATCATTTGAATTTGTCCCAATTTATCAATGTTGAGGGAGTAAATGAGAATTATGGTGTGATGTGAAGGTGGTTGATCTTATTAGTTTGAAAAAAAAAATAAGAAAAGACAATTCCAGCAAACGGCCGTTTATCTTCTTGTTGGAAACCCAACACATTAGTTAGATACCCCTTTTGTTTCTTTCACAATCATACCATATTCATTTACCCCTTTGAAGGTTGTTTTGGAAGGGACCTCACAGCTGAGAAATTCAGATTAATTCGCATATCCATTTCTGCAAATTTGAGCCATTGAGAAAACAATCCCCGCTGAATCTATGGTTGTGGCTATCCAACCCATTTATCTACACAATCTGAGAGATGCTTATATCATTATAAAATTTCCCAGGTTGTGGCTGAATCTGAAAAATTTGGCAGAGCTGAAGGTGCATAAATCTAACCCTAGATCTAATAGTAGATCGTGCAGAGGATCCTTTTTTCAATCAAAGGGAAATCCCAGCACGGAGTCCATTGACGCTAGTGGTTACAAAAAAACCAAACCCTTGAATAAATAATTAAAACAAGAGAGAAAAAAAACAGGATATGTAGTAAAGGTTTAACTCCCTGCCTTGGCTGATTTGGCTGTTGGAATGAATGATGGACGGCTGATCAGACATTCCAACATTTTAATGTAATTTTGACGATGGAAGATTAAACTCTCTGCCTTGTCTTTCAGAGGCTGTAGGATGATGGAGACTTTGTTTTAAACCAAATGATAAAGCAAAAGAACAGGTTAACCACGGATCATACTTTGGCTTATTTAATTCCACTTGGGAAATCTAAACCCAGGGTGCTAAAGTCAAATCCCAGGCAATCCCATTCAGTTCCATTGAAGAGAACATAATACAAATTAATCTCTCTGTTTTCCTTTAATCCACAGAAAAAAAACTATGCCTGAGTATAAAAATAGTGATCAGTGAGATTTCTCGGGATCTCATTGACCCTGATCTCGAAAATCAAAGTGTATCTGCGAACAGGAAAGACGAAACAATATAAATTCGAATCCATCTGTCCTGACTTGGGCTAAATGAAAATAAAGAAAAAAAATTATGATGCAAAAAATAGTTTGGTCCAAACTAATTGATAATGATAAGAATATCTTAGGGTGATGGATTGGAGAAGGCTGATCCTACTTAAAGAGTATTCAGAGTGCCGGTTTTGCTCCAGCTACTCGGATCTCAGAAAGAATCCTTCAGTCATCTTGTAAAGTACCTTCTAAACCTGGAATTGAATTGGTAACACAACTCTGCTGATTCTGTGATTGCTCCAGACTTTTCACAACTCAGACAACTCAACCTTTCTATGGCATTAATGAAAGCACTCTACCATTTCCTGGCTAAGGACCTTCTTCTCAACATGCTGATTTTGTACATGCAGGAATGTTCATTCCCAGTGAATGAAAGAGTTTATCTTGTTAAGGTCTGCTAGACCAAGAAAAAGAGGAAAAAAGTCATGGAGAAGCTTTACAAAATGCTATGGAGAAGGAAAGATTAGAAGGATAAATGGACTTACCTGTGACGATTAATTGGGTTCCACCTCCGAAGATGAACCACAGTGACATACGGCCATACAAAAACCTCCCCTCATTTTCACAACAGTTCATTGAAGATAGATCCCACCTTGGACAATGAACTGGGTTTCATAAAAGTTCAAAATGGATCTGGAGCAAATGTCGTATTCCGGAAGAACAAAAATGATGAGGTGTGAGTGGTTCATACTTGGACATCACGGAAGCCATTCATGGACAAGGAGATCATTCAAGAAAATCCAATGGATGCAGTCCCACTGATAAGTGAAGAAAACAGGCCAGATCAGAGCCATCGTTCATTTTTACGCTAAATTATACAGAAGAGTCACAAAATAGCTTCTAGTGATATAGCCAGTTGTAGAACACTGAGAAGTGTTGGCACTTTTGTCTAAATTAAAGTGGTTTCTTATAAATTAAGGCACTAGATCATTTTGGGGTGTAAGGACCTCCCTGATTATCAGTAGGGAAACTCTTCCAGAAGTTTTAATTAATCATATAATGAACATGTTGGCAGCCCAGGGAAGGTTACACCTGGGTTTTTATTAACTAGAATTCAGGAGACATATTGTAATTTCCACTAAAAGCATAATTTTCTACTGGAATTCATGGGGAATGGATCAACCTTTACATTCCTTCTGTGGGCAGTTCCTCTTTGTCTGTTTATTTGTCTTCTTACGGCCTTAGTTGTACAGATGCTGAAATGTCAGTTCCATAGTTGTGTATATGCAACAGGCTATCGGGAATTCATTTATTTCTGATTAAAATTTATTTATTTTATTTATTTAAAACATATATATAGCCTTGTGGCTCCCAACTGATGTATCTAGTCTATCTGAATTCCATCTGTTGCAAGACAAACAGGTTGTGATTACTTAGGACCATATCCATAGATTTACGCTGGAGCACATGCGAATTGGCAGTGAAAACTCAGAAAGAAATGAAATTCACGGAATGATAACAATGGTGTCATTATTGATCAGCATGGTGGCTATGTGTAGTATTGGCCTCCATGTTGTTGTGATGATAAATGGAGATGCTTGTACTCCATCAGCTTTATCTAATAGATCTTAGGAAGGGGAATAAAATCGGGCAAATTCTTTGGGCAAAGTTAAAGAAAGGCTTGATGGCCCTTGATACATTTCATAATTTGATTGAGGATAGGTCACTGTATGGAATGCTACCCTTGAGATCCTTGTGGTCCATCCCTTAGGCATGAATCAGTCCTCCTGCCAACCTAGATGCCGTGGCATTTGTAAAATCAAAAAGTCACTTGTGAAGTCTTTTCCTTAAACTTTGTTATGAAGAGAGATAATTTTACATTGAGGGGCTGTCTTATTGGCATTAAATGCCTATAGCAGTCTTGTTTGGAAACACCTAAAGCCTGTCTTTATAAACTTGGTTGTTCCCAGTCTCTGAAGAAAGGATTCATAACAGTGCTTTTGTGTTTTCCAGGTCCAAAATAACACCATCTTCCAGAAAGTGCATGCTGATTGTTAAATGAGGTGAACCTCCATGTGGTGAAAGGAGTTTGGTATAGACATGAGAGGTCCTAGATGTTCTAGAAGTTCTTCTAGATCTGAAAAGTAAGATTACCCTCAGCCCAGGTTAACCTCCAAATAGTTCCTGATTGGTTATCCTAGACACCAAAGGTTTCAATACGATCTAAACATGATCTATCATTGTTTCTCATCCATCTTGTACCTTTGAGATATATTGGGTCAGCAATTTCCAAAATTCCAATACACCATGACCAATTTAATATATTCCAGTAAAGTTGAAGACACTTATGAGAAATGTCTCATTCCAAGCACAATAATGCATGGTGATATCCTCATGTTCATCAGGTTCTGAGCAACAGTGGCAGAGTGTGACTTTTAATCTTGGAACCTTTTTTCCCAGATCAGGTTACTAACTGGCTTTCTGGGTTTAGAAAAGCTTAAGCGTCTGAGGAGACAGGTGGAAAGCTTGCGTTTTCATTTAAGAATGTTTAGATTTCATAGGCGGTTTCTCGTGATGGTAAAATGTGAAAAGCCTAATTTATGCTGCCTTCATGGACACAGAGAGAAGCTAAAAACTGTAGGTGGGAAATCAAAATCTTAATTCAACCCATTCTGACCCCAGGTTTTATCCTATACATTCCCAAGTCTACTATCCTCAATGTAATACACTATCATTTGGAACCAGAGGGGGAATCACTTGTGTGAGTGGATAAATATACAAAAACATCACAGTATCTGAAACTAGATGCGCCCTTTCTTCAGTGACAACGGATTCAGCTCTCTCCTTCTTAATATTGGAGCTGGCTGATATCTGTGAGGAACAGAATGTTGAAACCATAAAGCCTTGTCCTCCCACAACTACTCCTCCTAATAAATTTGGCAAAACAATCACGCAAATGAAATACATCCATCTTTATTAATGTTCTGACAGTAGAATCTAGCAGATCAAGAGGGGGGAATCGATTTGAAGGGCGAAGGCATGGAGGGGGTACAAAGAGTGTAACTACATGGGATAGAAAGAGACACTATGGATCACACTAATGTTTAGGAAAGAATGAATGAGAGCCCAGGAAAAGGGACTCCTGTCTCCTGCTGAATGGCAGGAGAGGATACATGACGGAGTTAACAACTTCCAGATTTTGACACGCTCTTCACAATGGTCTTCCCTTCATGCGTCACTTGACAGGTGAAAGTGCCACATTTTTCATAGTCAGACGCACTCAATTTCATGTAACTGCTGGCAAGGTTTTTGTCCCCTTGCTTGGTGGCCTTGGTGGTCTCCACTCCAGATGTTATCACTTTATCATCACATTTCCATTGCAGGTCAAAATTACGTGGGTAAAATTCGCTCAGGAGACAGACCACGGTATGTGGGTTCGGGCTTCTGATCTCTTCCTGGGAAGGAGCAAAGACTTGCACCGAAGGAGATACGGTGGGCAGACCTGGAAGAGAGGAAGATCTCATGAAGTTCCACACTGCATCTTAAAAGACAAGTAACTAGATTGATAAATGTATAGACAGTTTCCCTCATCAAGACTGCAGGGGAGGGAGTGGGGAAAATATCAAGGCAAAATTTCTCAAAATAGTACGTTGATAAGATGGTAAAAATCATAAGACCTCCTTCTTAAGGGAGAGAAAAACATTATTTAAAAGTTAAAAGAGATATTCTAACACCACAGGGGGCTATTATGTATCATGGACAAAAGAGATTCCTATTGTGTGGTATAGGAGCCTAAATAAAACTTTTATTTTAAATGATTTGTTCTCCCAAATCATTGGCAGTCTACCAACAATTCTTGTAGTTAGTTCTGTGAACCAGAATTTTTTTCCATCAGAGTAAGATTTCCTGCATGTTCCCGCTTAGGAATATCTGCAGGTATCCGCAGGGGAGTTACTTTCCAAAATTATTTCTCTTAGAAGAACATTTCGAAAAGGAATAATTTTCTGATTATTTTAATCTTGCTTGAGCAAAAAATTATTTTTCTTTGCATTTTGTGGAAGAGAAATGGGACTGCATCAAGACAACATCTGGACAACAGCATTGCTTAGAGAGAAGTATAACTTGTAAATGAATTAGATTTTTTTAGAAAAAAATTCTCTATCATGCCCGGAGGAAGATTAGAAACTAAGTGTCTTCTATCTATGCAGATTGCTTACCCCCATGTTGGTTTCTCTCTCTCTACATGTGTGAGTTTGAGAGAGAGGAAGAGAAATAAATTATTTTTAGTTCCTGAATGCAGTGATGTTCTTTCTCTGAGCTGGAATAGTCAAATATGTGAGCTGAAGTATGAATCCTTTTCCTAGCAAACACATTTTGACTGCACAAGAGAATTAAAGAGCAGAAACAGAGTTGAGTTTCATGGAATGCATTGATGCCAACCCAACTTTCCAAAAACATTCAAACTCAATGGTTCAAATATTTAGAGATGAGTTTCATGTCAACCCAACTTTCTAAGAACATTTAAACTCAATGCCAAAGAAAATGTGGCCCAATCTGCTAACCCAGATTTCTTTTTACATTTTGTGCAGAATGTCTTAGAGATCTGCAATTTATGTTAGATTCCAACAGGATGAGAAATGACTTGAAAACCTATTTTGAGTTGGTTCCCATAGCCCTATAATGATAAAATGTTCTTTTGATCTCCTTATTCCAGGTCACTGAATTGAAAGAATACATATGACATGTGTGCCATCAGTAACATTTCCTGTAGGTGTCCCTCACAAAGTCACCTTACTCTTTATAAGAGGTTACTCATTTTTCCCACCCAGTTAATCAGTTTGTTTAAGGAATCTATCTCAAATGATCCTCTGAAAGAAATATATTGGATTTAAACTTTTTATCATTGATTTAATGCATGCAGGAGAAAAATAACCAAACTCTGAACATCTGCAAAAGAGATAACATCAAAATTTCTAGTCCTTTACTTGCATACTATGTTACTTATCTGTGTTAAATCATTTGAATTTAAGACTTGTCCCAATTTTTCAATTTTGAGGGAGTAAATGAGAATTATGGTGTGATGTGAAGGTGGTTGATCTTATTAGTTTGAAAAAAAAAACAGGAAAAGACAATTCCAGCAAACGTCCGTTTATCTTCTTGTTGGAAACCCAACACATTAGTTAGATACCCCTTTTGTTTCTTTCACAATCATACCATATTCATTTACCCCTTTGAAGGTTGTTTTGGAAGGGACCTCACAGCTGAGAAATTCAGATTAATTCGCATATCCATTTCTGCAAATTTGAGCCATTGAGAAAACAATCCCCGCTGAATCTATGGTTGTGGCTATCCAACCCATTTATCTACACAATCTGAGAGATGCTTATATCATTATAAAATTTCCCAGGTTGTGGCTGAATCTGAAAAATTTGGCAGAGCTGAAGGTGCATAAATCTAACCCTAGATCTAATAGTAGATCGTGCAGAGGATCCTTTTTTCAATCAAAGGGAAATCCCAGCACGGAGTCCATTGACGCTAGTGGTTACAAAAAAACCAAACCCTTGAATAAATAATTAAAACAAGAGAGAAAAAAAACAGGATATGTAGTAAAGGTTTAACTCCCTGCCTTGGCTGATTTGGCTGTTGGAATGAATGATGGACGGCTGATCAGACATTCCAACATTTTAATGTAATTTTGACGATGGAAGATTAAACTCTCTGCCTTGTCTTTCAGAGGCTGTAGGATGATGGAGACTTTGTTTTAAACCAAATGATAAAGCAAAAGAACAGGTTAACCACGGATCATACTTTGGCTTATTTAATTCCACTTGGGAAATCTAAACCCAGGGTGCTAAAGTCAAATCCCAGGCAATCCCATTCAGTTCCATTGAAGAGAACATAATACAAATTAATCTCTCTGTTTTCCTTTAATCCACAGAAAAAAAACTATGCCTGAGTATAAAAATAGTGATCAGTGAGATTTCTCGGGATCTCATTGACCCTGATCTCGAAAATCAAAGTGTATCTGCGAACAGGAAAGACGAAACAATATAAATTCGAATCCATCTGTCCTGACTTGGGCTAAATGAAAATAAAGAAAAAAAATTATGATGCAAAAAATAGTTTGGTCCAAACTAATTGATAATGATAAGAATATCTTAGGGTGATGGATTGGAGAAGGCTGATCCTACTTAAAGAGTATTCAGAGTGCCGGTTTTGCTCCAGCTACTCGGATCTCAGAAAGAATCCTTCAGTCATCTTGTAAAGTACCTTCTAAACCTGGAATTGAATTGGTAACACAACTCTGCTGATTCTGTGATTGCTCCAGACTTTTCACAACTCAGACAACTCAACCTTTCTATGGCATTAATGAAAGCACTCTACCATTTCCTGGCTAAGGACCTTCTTCTCAACATGCTGATTTTGTACATGCAGGAATGTTCATTCCCAGTGAATGAAAGAGTTTATCTTGTTAAGGTCTGCTAGACCAAGAAAAAGAGGAAAAAGGTCATGGAGAAGCTTTACAAAATGCTATGGAGAAGGAAAGATTAGAAGGATAAATGGACTTACCTGTGACGATTAATTGGGTTCCACCTCCGAAGATGAACCACAGTGACATACGGCCATACAAAAACCTCCCCTCATTTTCACAACAGTTCATTGAAGATAGATCCCACCTTGGACAATGAACTGGGTTTCATAAAAGTTCAAAATGGATCTGGAGCAAATGTCGTATTCCGGAAGAACAAAAATGATGAGGTGTGAGTGGTTCATACTTGGACATCACGGAAGCCATTCATGGACAAGGAGATCATTCAAGAAAATCCAATGGATGCAGTCCCACTGATAAGTGAAGAAAACAGGCCAGATCAGAGCCATCGTTCATTTTTACGCTAAATTATACAGAAGAGTCACAAAATAGCTTCTAGTGATATAGCCAGTTGTAGAACACTGAGAAGTGTTGGCACTTTTGTCTAAATTAAAGTGGTTTCTTATAAATTAAGGCACTAGATCATTTTGGGGTGTAAGGACCTCCCTGATTATCAGTAGGGAAACTCTTCCAGAAGTTTTAATTAATCATATAATGAACATGTTGGCAGCCCAGGGAAGGTTACACCTGGGTTTTTATTAACTAGAATTCAGGAGACATATTGTAATTTCCACTAAAAGCATAATTTTCTACTGGAATTCATGGGGAATGGATCAACCTTTACATTCCTTCTGTGGGCAGTTCCTCTTTGTCTGTTTATTTGTCTTCTTACGGCCTTAGTTGTACAGATGCTGAAATGTCAGTTCCATAGTTGTGTATATGCAACAGGCTATTGGGAATTCATTTATTTCTGATTAAAATTTATTTATTTTATTTATTTAAAACATATATATAGCCTTGTGGCTCCCAACTGATGTATCTAGTCTATCTGAATTCCATCTGTTGCAAGACAAACAGGTTGTGATTACTTAGGACCATATCCATAGATTTACGCTGGAGCACATGCGAATTGGCAGTGAAAACTCAGAAAGAAATGAAATTCACGGAATGATAACAATGGTGTCATTATTGATCAGCATGGTGGCTATGTGTAGTATTGGCCTCCATGTTGTTGTGATGATAAATGGAGATGCTTGTACTCCATCAGCTTTATCTAATAGATCTTAGGAAGGGGAATAAAATCGGGCAAATTCTTTGGGCAAAGTTAAAGAAAGGCTTGATGGCCCTTGATACATTTCATAATTTGATTGAGGATAGGTCACTGTATGGAATGCTACCCTTGAGATCCTTGTGGTCCATCCCTTAGGCATGAATCAGTCCTCCTGCCAACCTAGATGCCGTGGCATTTGTAAAATCAAAAAGTCACTTGTGAAGTCTTTTCCTTAAACTTTGTTATGAAGAGAGATAATTTTACATTGAGGGGCTGTCTTATTGGCATTAAATGCCTATAGCAGTCTTGTTTGGAAACACCTAAAGCCTGTCTTTATAAACTTGGTTGTTCCCAGTCTCTGAAGAAAGGATTCATAACAGTGCTTTTGTGTTTTCCAGGTCCAAAATAACACCATCTTCCAGAAAGTGCATGCTGATTGTTAAATGAGGTGAACCTCCATGTGGTGAAAGGAGTTTGGTATAGACATGAGAGGTCCTAGATGTTCTAGAAGTTCTTCTAGATCTGAAAAGTAAGATTACCCTCAGCCCAGGTTAACCTCCAAATAGTTCCTGATTGGTTATCCTAGACACCAAAGGTTTCAATACGATCTAAACATGATCTATCATTGTTTCTCATCCATCTTGTACCTTTGAGATATATTGGGTCAGCAATTTCCAAAATTCCAATACACCATGACCAATTTAATATATTCCAGTAAAGTTGAAGACACTTATGAGAAATGTCTCATTCCAAGCACAATAATGCATGGTGATATCCTCATGTTCATCAGGTTCTGAGCAACAGTGGCAGAGTGTGACTTTTAATCTTGGAACCTTTTTTCCCAGATCAGGTTACTAACTGGCTTTCTGTGTTTAGAAAAGCTTAAGCGTCTGAGGAGACAGGTGGAAAGCTTGCGTTTTGATTTAAGAATGTTTAGATTTCATAGGCGGTTTCTCGTGATGGTAAAATGTGAAAAGCCTAATTTATGCTGCCTTCATGGACACAGAGAGAAGCTAAAAACTGTAGGTGGGAAATCAAAATCTTAATTCAACCCATTCTGACCCCAGGTTTTATCCTATACATTCCCAAGTCTACTATCCTCAATGTAATACACTATCATTTGGAACCAGAGGGGGAATCACTTGTGTGAGTGGATAAATATACAAAAACATCACAGTATCTGAAACTAGATGCGCCCTTTCTTCAGTGACAACGGATTCAGCTCTCTCCTTCTTAATATTGGAGCTGGCTGATATCTGTGAGGAACAGAATGTTGAAACCATAAAGCCTTGTCCTCCCACAACTACTCCTCCTAATAAATTTGGCAAAACAATCACGCAAATGAAATACATCCATCTTTATTAATGTTCTGACAGTAGAATCTAGCAGATCAAGAGGGGGGAATCGATTTGAAGGGCGAAGGCATGGAGGGGGTACAAAGAGTGTAACTACATGGGATAGAAAGAGACACTATGGATCACACTAATGTTTAGGAAAGAATGAATGAGAGCCCAGGAAAAGGGACTCCTGTCTCCTGCTGAATGGCAGGAGAGGATACATGACGGAGTTAACAACTTCCAGATTTTGACACGCTCTTCACAATGGTCTTTCCTTCATGCGTCACTTGACAGGTGAAAGTGCCACATTTTTCATAGTCAGACGCACTCAATTTCATGTAACTGCTGGCAAGGTTTTTGTCCCCTTGCTTGGTGGCCTTGGTGGTCTCCACTCCAGATGTTATCACTTTATCATCACATTTCCATTGCAGGTCAAAATTACGTGGGTAAAATTCGCTCAGGAGACAGACCACGGTATGTGGGTTCGGGCTTCTGATCTCTTCCTGGGAAGGAGCAAAGACTTGCACCGAAGGAGATACGGTGGGCAGACCTGGAAGAGAGGAAGATCTCATGAAGTTCCACACTGCATCTTAAAAGACAAGTAACTAGATTGATAAATGTATAGACAGTTTCCCTCATCAAGACTGCAGGGGAGGGAGTGGGGAAAATATCAAGGCAAAATTTCTCAAAATAGTACGTTGATAAGATGGTAAAAATCATAAGACCTCCTTCTTAAGGGAGAGAAAAACATTATTTAAAAGTTAAAAGAGATATTCTAACACCACAGGGGGCTATTATGTATCATGGACAAAAGAGATTCCTATTGTGTGGTATAGGAGCCTAAATAAAACTTTTATTTTAAATGATTTGTTCTCCCAAATCATTGGCAGTCTACCAACAATTCTTGTAGTTAGTTCTGTGAACCAGAATTTTTTTCCATCAGAGTAAGATTTCCTGCATGTTCCCGCTTAGGAATATCTGCAGGTATCCGCAGGGGAGTTACTTTCCAAAATTATTTCTCTTAGAAGAACATTTCGAAAAGGAATAATTTTCTGATTATTTTAATCTTGCTTGAGCAAAAAATTATTTTTCTTTGCATTTTGTGGAAGAGAAATGGGACTGCATCAAGACAACATCTGGACAACAGCATTGCTTAGAGAGAAGTATAACTTGTAAATGAATTAGATTTTTTTAGAAAAAAATTCTCTATCATGCCCGGAGGAAGATTAGAAACTAAGTGTCTTCTATCTATGCAGATTGCTTACCCCCATGTTGGTTTCTCTCTCTCTACATGTGTGAGTTTGAGAGAGAGGAAGAGAAATAAATTATTTTTAGTTCCTGAATGCAGTGATGTTCTTTCTCTGAGCTGGAATAGTCAAATATGTGAGCTGAAGTATGAATCCTTTTCCTAGCAAACACATTTTGACTGCACAAGAGAATTAAAGAGCAGAAACAGAGTTGAGTTTCATGGAATGCATTGATGCCAACCCAACTTTCCAAAAACATTCAAACTCAATGGTTCAAATATTTAGAGATGAGTTTCATGTCAACCCAACTTTCTAAGAACATTTAAACTCAATGCCAAAGAAAATGTGGCCCAATCTGCTAACCCAGATTTCTTTTTACATTTTGTGCAGAATGTCTTAGAGATCTGCAATTTATGTTAGATTCCAACAGGATGAGAAATGACTTGAAAACCTATTTTGAGTTGGTTCCCATAGCCCTATAATGATAAAATGTTCTTTTGATCTCCTTATTCCAGGTCACTGAATTGAAAGAATACATATGACATGTGTGCCATCAGTAACATTTCCTGTAGGTGTCCCTCATAAAGTCACCTTACTCTTTATAAGAGGTTACTCATTTTTCCCACCCAGTTAATCAATTGTTTAAGGGATCTATCTCAAATGATCCTCTGAAAGAAATATATTGGATTTAAACTTTTTATCATTGGTTTAATGCAAGCAGGAGAAAAATAACCAAACTCTGAACATCTGCAAAAGAGATAACATCAAAATTTCTAGTCCTTTACTTGCATACTATGTTACTTATCTGTGTTAAATCATTTGAATTTAAGTCTTGTTCCAATTTATCAATTTTGAGGGGAGTAAATGAGAATTATGGTGTGATGTGAAGGTGGTTGATCTTATTAGTTTGAAAAAAAATTAGGAAAAGACAATTCCAGCAAACGGCCATTTATCTTCTTGTTGGAAACCCAACACATTAGTTAGATACTACTTTTGTTTCTTTCACAATCATACCATATTCATTTACCCCTTTGAAGGTTGTTTTGGAAGGGATCTCACAACTGAGAAATTCAGAATAATTCTCATATCCATTTCTGCAAATTTGAACCATTGAGAAAACAATCCCCTCTGAATCTATAGTTGTGGCTATCCCACCCATTTATCTACACAATCTGAGAGATGCTTATATCATTATAAAATTTCCCAGGTTGTGGCTGAATCTGAAAAATTTGGCAGAGCTGAAGGTGCATAAATCTAACCCTAGATCTAATAGTAGATTGTGCAGAAGATCCTTTTTTCAATCAAAGGGAAATCCCAGCACAGAGTCCATTGAAGCTAGTGGTTACAAAACAAAAAACAAAAACCTTGAAAAATAATTAAAACAAGAGAGAAAAAAAAACAGGATATGTAGTAAAGGTTTAACTCCCTGCATTGGCTGATTTGGCTGTTGGAATGAATGATGGACGGCTGATCAGTCATTCCAACATTTTAATGTAATTTTGACGATGGAAGATTAAACTCTCTGCCTTGTTTTTCAGAGGATGAAAGATGATGGAGACTCTTTTTAAACCAAATGATAAAGCAAAACAATAGGTTGAGCATGGATTATACTTCGGCTTACTTAATTCCACTTGAGAAATCTAAACCCAGCATTCTAAAGTCAAATCCCAGCCAATCCCATTCAGTTCCATTGAAGAGAACATAATACAAATAAATCTCTCTGTTTTCCTTTAGTCCACAGAAAAAAACTATGCCTGAGTATAAAAGTAGTGATCAGTGAGATTTCTCGGGATCTCATTGACCCTGATCTCGAAAATCAAAGTGTATCTGTGGACAGGGAAGACGAAACAATATAAATTCGAATCCACCTGTCCTGACTTAGGCTAAATGTTCAGTTCTCACTGAAAAAAACATCACCATTGATGAATCCAAAGCAACCCTAAAATCAAAGTGCATGGAGCCAAAGTAGGAAAAGAGGAGGAAAAAGATGAAAAAATGAAAATATCACATGAAGAAAGAAAGATTTGGGATCAATTAATTGACTTACCTGTGACTATTAGCTCGGTTCCTCCTCCGAACACCCACCACAGTGATACACAGCTGTACATAAACCTACTCTCTCTTGATGCTCTTGAGCAAGTGGTGAGTCTCCTTGACATGGCCATTTCAAGTCTTTTAAATCCCATAGAATGTATTTTGGAAAAAGAAACCATGGTCCATTTTCGGAGTAGTAAAAGAAGGATTTGTTAGTGATTTATAAAGACCTCAGGTCTTCGAGAACTTCAATTCTTGAAGCGATTCCTTTCTGGATGTAGGCAGATGGTAGATTCCTTCAAGATTATGTGAAAGAAGCCCAAGTGTCTGCAGCTTTGCCTGTTTAAAAAAATATAAACTATGCTTAAGAAGTGTGAAAAGTTGCTTTGTAGGAACTGAAGTTTTGTCTATGCTGTAATTGTTTTTGATGGATTTCACCCAATGCAATGGATCTGTTCTTGAAGTACAGTTTGATCACTGTAGTATGATTACTGTAATGCACTGTTAAGAATAGTTTTCAGTAGATCCATCAGAAAATTGAACCGTAGGAAGTTTCTCCTTTATGATTTGGGCTCATCCAATTTAAATGTCCTTGACATTGAAAGCTCAGCAGATCATTCCAGATAGATAGCTTTAAATTTCTTGGGATACATTATATGAGGAAGGCCCTGGACCATGGCTTCTGCCTGCTAATATTCAGATCTACCTGTTGAATTTCTAATAAAGACAGTTGAGATTTTTCTGAATGAGTTACAATTCTCTACCTGCTTATCTGAGGTTTCCTTAACTGTAAATATAAGAGATCATACCACGAAGTCAACATTATGTCTAGTATGGGGATTTTGACTGCTCCATTGTGATTGTGTGATGTCCTTTAGAATGTGTACTTTCATGAAAACTCTGGATGAGGTTGTAAAATAACCTTTGAAATAGAGAGACAACTGAGATTTTTCTGGATGGGTTACAATTCTCTACATGCTTATCTGTACATAACTGTAAATACAAGGGGTCATATCTTGTTGTTAATATTGTGCCTTGTGTGGAGATTTGGAATGCTCCATTGTGCTTATGTGATGACCTTTAGAATTGAAATGCTGGAATAGGTTATAAAATAAACTTTTACATATAGAGAGGATAGGGACAACATCTCCTAAGATTTCAAAGCTTCTTCCAGGGCCTTTTTCTGAGAGAGTGGAAATGCAATGTTTGAGACACTGCCCTTGGACCTAGAATAATTCATAGGTCTGAAAAGAATATGGGATTTCTAGGTGGATGCTTAAAACCCATCCATGCTTCTTCTCTTGTCTCCTATTTCTTATTTTGTCCTCAGGGAATAAGGAATTAACTCTGAAGAATGACAAAAGAAACATCTTGTGAAGGGCTTGAGCAACATTCAACCAGACCAATGGAATATTGTTGTTGTTGTTATTAATTGCAAAGTCGTGTCCGACCAATCACGACCCCATGGACAATGTTCCTCCAGGTCTTCCTGTCCTCTACCATTTTCTGGAGTCCATTTAAGTTCACACCTACTGCTTCAGTGACTCCATCCAGCCATCTCATTCTCTGTCGTCCCCTTCTTCTATTGCCCTCAATCTTTCCCAGCATTAGGCCCTTCTCTAGTGAGTCCTCCCTGCTCATTAGGTGGCCAAAGTATTAGAGTTTCAACTTCAGGATCTGGCCTTCTAAAGAGCAGTCGGGGTTGATCTCTTCTAGGACTGACCGGTTTGAATGCCTTGCAGTCCAAGGAACTCACAGGAGTCTTCTCCAGCACCATAGTTCAAAGCCTCAATTCTTTTGCGCTCAGCCTTTCTTATGGTCCAACTTTCACAGCCATACATTGCAACTGGGAAAACCATGGCCTGGACTATATGCACTTTTGTTGGCAGGGTGATGTCTCTGCTTTTTAGTATGCTGTCTAGATTTGCCATAGCTTTCCTCCCCAGGAGCAAGCATCTTTTAATTTCTTGGCTGCAGAATGGAATACTAATAATCCCCAAATAGCTTTGAATTTGCAAGCAGTCCATGTAAACAACTAAACCTGCCTTTGCATGTGGGTTTCCTCGCTAGATACTCTTTTGGTGACACCTGGTCAGTTTGCCATACAATGAGGTGAGTAGGTATTTGCTCAAATCTAGAAGCCTACTTCATTTGTTTATTTATTTTATTTATTTATCAAATGTATTGGTGGGCCATCTTACCACATGGTTTTTTTTTAATTAAATAAAATGCCCTCTGTACTTGAACTGTCAATCAGAGCTAAAACACCAATTCCTGGATCTGATGAATCCCAGTCATGATGAAGAGATAGAAGTATTCTTATTAAATGGCTAACACCCAGGTATTTTGAAGCCAATGGCCAAATATTTACTTCTAGCCTTGCTTGGGCCCTTCCATGATTGTCAACGTGTTTTCCCCTTTTATATATGTTTGTAATACCACTTTTTATATGAATTAAGGCTATGGGATGGATATGACTTGAGAGATAGTAGTTCAACTATATATTCACTATAGCATTATTACTAAAGAACAAGGCATTTTCATGTCATATATGTTTACAACACCACTTTTTGCATGAATTAAGGATATGGGTACTTTTACACTTTGTGACTTGAGAGATAGTAGTTCAACCATATATTCACTGTGTATCAGTTGGAGGATGAGATATTATTGGAAGGGCTGCTGTGATTGCATATATTCCCAAATCTGCTAGCATTGCTACTAAAGGACAAGATATTTTCATTTGAAACTTGAGAAGAATTCATGTGTGAATTTATTGCAACACCCATGTAGGGTCCAAAACCAGATGATGGTTCTTGATATTCCCAAGAGAATCAGACTTAGAGTTTTTTTTTTTGTTGTTGTTTTTTGTTTGTTTGTTTTTTTGGGTAACTGTTTAACTGGGCAAAATTGGACCTTGGAAACAGACTGCTTTTCCTTGAACATAACCAAGTTTATATAGCTGTGTATTCTTGATGAATTTGATGAAACAATCACACAAATGAAATACATCCATCTTTATTAATGTTCTGACAGTAGAATCTAGCAGATCAAGGGGGGGAGGAATCGATTTGAAGGGCAAAGACATGGAGGGGATACAAAGGGTGTAACTACATGGGATAGAAAGAGACACTATGGATCACATTAAAGTTTAGGAAAGAATGAATGAGAGCCCAGGAGAAGGGACTCCTGTCTCCTGCCGAATGGCAGGAGAGGATACATGACGGAGTTAACAACTTCCAGATTTTGACACGCTCTTCACAATGGTCTTTCCTTCATGCGTCACTTGACAGGTGAAAGTGCCATATTTTTCATAGTCAGACGTGCTCAGTTTCATGTAACTGCTGGCAAGGTATTTGTCCCCTTGCTTGGTGGCCTTGGTGGTCTCCACTCCAGATGTTATCACTTTATCATCACATTTCCATTGCAGGTCGAAACTAGGTGGGTACAATCCGCTCAGGAGACAGACCACGGTATGTGGGTTCGGGCTTCTGATCTCTTCCTGGGAAGGAGCAAAGACTTGCACCGAAGGAGATACGGTGGGCAGACCTGGAAGAGAGGAAGATCTCATGAAGTTCCACACTGCATCTTAAAAGCTCAACACAACTAATCTTCTTGATTAGTTTCCATCCATTGTTTTTTTTTAATCTTGCCTTCTGGTTCTTTGGAAAATAATTTGATCCCCTTTTATTTGTGGCAGCCCTCTGAAATACCGGAATACTGCTATCATGTCATCCCTAGTCCTTCTTTTCTCTAGACTGGCCATACCCAGTTCCTGCAACCATTCTTTATATGTCTCCAGGCCTTTAATCATCTTAGTTGCTTTTCTTTGCACTTTGTCCAAAGTCTCAACATCTTTTTTGTAATACAGTGACCAAAACTGAATGCAGTATTCCAGGAGTGGTCTTACTAAGGCTTTATACAGCGGTACTCATATTTCGATCAACCCCGACTGCTCTTTAGAAGGCCAGATCCTGAAGTTGAAACTCAAGTACTTTGGCCACCTAATGAGAAGGAAGGACTCACTGGAGAAGGGCCTAATGCTGGGAAAGATTGAGGGCAATAGAAGAAGGGGACAACAGAGAATGAGGGGGCTGGATGGAATCACTGAAGCAGTAGGCGTGAGCTTAAATGGACTCCAGATGATGGTAGAGGGCAGGAAGGCCTGGAGGAACATTGTCCATGGAGTTGCGATGGGTCGGACCTGACTTTGCAATTAACAACAACAACAACAACTCATATTTCACGTGATTTTGATTCTATGCCTCCGTTTACATGACTTAGTGACTGTCAGACACAACTTAGCAACTGAACAAACAACAATAGTTTTAATGAATGAACAAAAGAGATTAAGTGAGAAACTCTTTTGTGTTGCTGTTGGGATCTAAACAAAATTGTGATTTGATAAGATATGATTTGATTTCCCATTCTCAGTCTACTAATGATTCGTGTAGTTACTGCTATGAACTGAAGTGGTTTGCTTTTCCTGCCTTTGTGGGCTGAAAGAGAGGGACTGGTCCAAAGTCACCCACTGGCTTTGCGCCTAAAGTGGATCTAGAACTTAAAATCCTTCTCTTTGAACCTTAGAAAGAAGCAGGCAAGTAAGCCACTTCTGAAAATCTTGCCAAGAAAACTTCAGGGATTTGTCCAGTCAGTCACCAAGAGTCAACAAAATAAAATCATAATGAGAAAAAAGTTAAAGTTAAAACTAAATAACGTTAAAGTTTAAAGTTAAAACTAAGTAAAGGAGTTATTTTCTCTGTGTTTAATAACAGCCCCTTTAAAAATCAGGTTTCAGTGATAAATGTGGTTGGCTTGGGAAGGTTTGATAGAAAGCTTGTCTCAAAATTCAAATTTGGTCCTTCTGATATCATTTCTAAATAGTAACTACAGAACTTCCAGAAGTTTATCTTTTAAATAAGCGATAAGAATCAAGGGGACTGGGGGTTAAAACATATGAAGAATGATTGCAGGAATTGGGTGTGTCTGATTTGATGAAAAGAAGGACTGGGGTGGCATGATAGCAGTGTTCCAATATCTCAGGGGCTACCACAAAGAAGAGGAGGTCAACCTATTAACCAAAACACCAGAAGACAGGACAAGAAACAACAGATGGAAACCAAGCAAGGAGAGAACCAACCTAGAACTAAAGAGAAATTTCCTGACAGTTAATAAACAGATACATGGAACACAATATTAACACATCAAGGATCGTATCAATCAATCAATAATCAAGGAAGCAACTGAAGTTACAGAATTTTGGACCTATCCAATTTCAGCTCTGGGAAGAGAGAGAGAGAGAGAGGGAGGGAGGGAGGGAGGGAGGGAGGGAGAGAGAGGAGAGAAAGAGAGAGAGAGAGAGGAAGGGAGAGAGAGAGAGAGAGAGAGAGAGAGAGAGAGAGAAAGAGAGAGAGAGAGAGAGATAGAGGAGAAGGGAGAGAGAGAGAGAGAGAGAGAGAGAGAGAGAGAGAGAGAGAGAGAGAAAATATATTCTAATACCATAAATAATCTAGACAAGATCTGTATAAAACTTTCCAATCCTTTGCTAGCTTGTAATGGGTTGTAAAATCAGCAAACTGAAATATGATCGTTAAGAATGACAAAAGGGGTATGAGAGCTAGTTTCAGTGCCCTAGTTTTAATTAAACATTTGGAAGATCCCTGGTTGATTCCAAGTTTTTTTTTTTTTTTTTTAAAGCAAAGGAATTATTTGTCTATCTCAGACAAGGAGAAAACAGATATTTTTCCTAATGGGATTAAGAGTGGATTTGAACATGGGGTACCTAAAATTAAAATAGATAGCAAAATTCTGATCAGCACTGAATGCTTTTGACTGTCACTTGATAAGAAAGTCTCTTATTCCTTTCACTATGCATTTACTTTCTATTGCCAAGTCATACTGCCATCATCTTTTATCAAGGCATTTGTTTTTTTAAGAAAAATAAAGGTAAAATTAAAACAAAACGAGAAAACCAAACCAAACCCAAGATTTTATCCCATTGAAATTTGAGAGTTAGTAATTTTCGCATGCAATGTTCAAATTCTCTAGCTCCAGATTGCCCTATGTTTCATTTTATCTCTGTGAAATTTCACCTCTATTTATAAAAAAAAAATCCTTTCCCATTGACAAAGTAAAACAAATGTGAAGATTCAGTTTTGAAGATGATTTTTTTAAAAAAAAGATCAGAAGTTTTCGCTTATGATTGGTGAATTGCCAAGCAATGCATCCCTTTCAAGATATTTTGATTATTAGGTACTAATATTATATAAATAATGTTTTAAGATGATTTTTAAGATGATATACCTCAATTCTATGAACCAAAACATTAGTCACAGATCCTTTAAAAAAAAAGATCAGTGCTGGACTTAACACAAACTCAAACTCACAAATACTTGTCTAGGATTTATTTTCATAGGGGAAAAAAGTCTATTTAGAACTTCAAAGATTATCTCAACCTTCCCTCATTTTATTCCTTCAGTTCAGATCTTAGCAGAAGGAATATTTGCAATCAGATAAAGAAATCTAAACATTCAAGCAAGGGAAAAGCTGAATTTTATTTAAGGTTACAAGTTCTATTTCTCTATTTTTTCAAAACTGCCTTTTGCCTTAAAATCAGATATAGCATGGAAACTCACATTCTAACATTTTGCAACACACAAACATATATGAACACAAAAAGATTAGAGAGATTTGATATACTTTTGCTATTTTTTTCTTACATTGACTTGTTTAAACCTACTTTACTGCATTCATTTTTTGGCCAATCAAAAAGACTTGATAGGATTCGATTTTTAAATTATCTAATTATCTAATGAGCTAAATCCTCTTTAAATTAACTATGTGCAAATAAAATGAGATATTGAAGAAGTGTACAACACTTTGCTCGATATTTTGCCATCATCATCACCTGGATTTTGTTTTCTTGAAAAGGACAGTGAGAGACAAACTATTAAACACAATACGGATAGATGAGCATGCTTTTTAGGAGAAAAAATATAACACCCTGGAGAAAAAAAAGATCACAAAAGCAAAATGTGATGAACACAAATAGTTGGATCACTTCATCCTCTACTTGCAAACATGGCTTAATCCAAGTAAGGGCATATTATATTTCAGACTTAATCAGCTCAAAAAAGACAGCCCCCCCTTTATATTTAATCTATTTGAGAGTTCTTTATTCAACATCAAAGAAAAAACCAGCATTTTTTAACGTAAACTGATGAGCTACGCCAAAGATGCTTCATTCAAGACAGAGAAAAGAAAAACAACAACACCACAAATTAAAATAACAAACAGTTGGGAAAAAATTGTATTGGCATTTTAAAAAGATTTACCTGTGACTGTCAACGGGTTCCAGCGCCGAAGACATACACACAGTGAGTGAGGGCCATACCAAAATATTTCCTCTAGAACTTTACTTCTGCTTTCTGATCTTGGATTTTTTTTTATATAAGTCTTTTTTTTCAAAGTCATAATTCGCTTTGCAAAACTTACTCGTTTGGCAAACACAATCATATTTTTCCACATTATTATTATTATTATTTTGAACGAGCAGGCAAGCTGGATCGCATATTGCATGGAAGTTCTTTGCAATTTTTCCCACTAAGGTAATCCCCACAAAGAGAAGGAACGCTCTGCTCAAAATGTTTCCATGAAATTCCACATTCTTTTCAACTCATCCTCAAACATTTTTTCTCCCATTCTCAGATATTTGGTTAAGAGGGCCATAGAATCACTAAGAGTTGGACGGGACTGATGGATAACATCTTTATCATATCATCATCCAATCCAGAAACAGTAGGAAAACAAATATATTGACATTTTAAAAAGACTTACCTGTGACTGTCAACTGGGTTCCAGCACCGAAGATAATCACACAGTGAGTAATGACCATACAAAAACATTTACTTCTGCTTTCTGATCTTAGATTATATATATAATATATATATATATATATATATAATGTAAGTCTATTGCTCACTTTATAGGGGGTATGGACTTGGTCATTTTTTTAGTTCATTTTTTTATTAGTTTATCAAAATATAATATAAATACAAAATACAAAAGAACATAATGGGAAAATAAGGGAGGAAAAAGGGAAGAGAAAGCGTAGGACAAGAGAGAGAAAGAGAGAGAAAAGAAAAGCATTGACTTCCAATTCCTTTTGGTGCAGTAGAATAAGATAATAGCATTAAACCTCAACTTTTTATTTTTATAGAATAATACAAACTAGCCGTTTTTATAACAACACACCTATCTAATCGGCAAAAGTTAAAAGTTTTATTTTTTTCCACCTCAAGGAAAAAGACCAGAAGGGGTTTCCAAGTAAAAACAAAAGTAATTGTGTTCTTTTCTTTAATCAAAGCAGTCAATTTAGCCATCTCTGCTAACTCCATCAAGTTGTGTGGCTTTGCTGTTTTGAGTTGGACCACCCTCGCTTCTATGACTTTCAAAGTCATAATTCGCTTTCCAGAACTTACTCACTTGGCAAACACAATCGTATTTCCAAATTTCTTTTTTTGAATGAACAGGCAAGCTGGATCGCATATTCTATGGAAGTTCTTTGCAATTTTTCCCACTAAGCTAATCCCGCAAAGAGAAGGAACACTCTGCTCAAAATGTTTCCATGAAATTCCACATTCTTTTCAACCCATCCTCAAACATTTTCTCTCCCGTTCTCAGATGTTTGGTTAATTGGGCCAGACAAATTTACATTAGTTCATCTGTTTGAGAGTTCTTTATACAACGCTAAGTAGCACAAGATTGGAAGATGTGGAGAGCCCTGGACCATAGAATTAGTAAGAGTTGGACATGACTGAATGGATAACACCTTCATCATATCATCATCCAATCCAGAAACAGTTGGAAAACAATTGTATCGGTATTTTAAAGAGACTTACCTATCGCTGTCACTCAAGTTCTTTTGTCACACATCAAGTAATGGCCACGCAACAATACTATATAATAATCTATTCCCATGAATGTCCATGAATTCCACACTCTCTTCAACCCATCATTGATATTGCTCTTCCATTCTCAAATATTTGCTTAATAATAATTGATTTTAGAAATAAAATGACGTCACTGCTTTCTTAAATACCCTCACATGTGAATAATTTAGATTGTAACAATTAGGCATAACATAAGTGAAGAGAGAGTAAAGCCATAGGGAAGCAATTTCCCTTCCTACCTGAATTCCAGGTCCACTGTGAACTTTCTTTGATGTTTTGAATCAGAAGAATTAAGGTGCTTTCATCCCAGAACCAGACCTATCTTGGATCATCCAGAACTATTCCAAATACTTTACCCTAAAGAAGGGATTTCCTTGTAGCATCTTTGACAAATTAATGGTGGAGGCAGAGAAGAAGACAGTGAAATAAAACTCATCCATTTCATCCAGTGGAACTTACAAATGAAAACTTTTCCTTAGAAATAGTGGATGTTAGATAGATCCCTGTGTATTAATCCAAAACCACAATGAAATTCTCTTTTGAGGCAGGAAGACAGTTTTTCTAGAACAGGTCTTGCTCTCTGATTGGGAAAATTATAATCCATTTAGCTTCGTTCTGCTCCATTTTCCAAAGGCAGGTTCTTTTATTTTCAAAATAACATTATCCACAAATAAGAGGTTTTGGAATGATCAAGCAAGGCCCAATATATCCAGAAGTATGATGAATCTTTAGGGAAAAAGAAGAAGTAAAGAAAGAAAATGGCCCTGAAACCGGTTTAAATATGAAGGCATATTTAGTGGCCACAGAAAATGGTCAATCTGAGGGATAGAAACAGAAAGAAACCAAAATCCACCTACAATTATAAACGTAGGCTCCTAAGCAGGAGTGTTGTGTGAACTTTTGTTGTAAATCCAATTAAATCATCAATTCAATGCCTGAAAGACATTGAGTGGTACCTGCAGCCTAAAAATAATGGCTTAAAAAAGAGAGAGGCTTTCCTCTTTGCATTTCTATCACCACTAAGATATCCATTAGAGAAGAGCTATTCAAAATGGCATCCATATGGCCAAGCAATCCCATTTCCTGGCCAGCCAGAAGATCCACAAGATTTCCCTGGAAACCACCACAGGAGGAAGAGAAAGATACGTGATCAATGTAATCCACATCAAGCCCAGTTCATACGCACAAAGCTTGAGTACTCCCTTCTCCACCTCTGAAGGCATCTGGTAACCTTCAACAACAAACATTCATCAGATGCATCTGACGTTTTCGGAAACCACAAAGAACCGTTTTTCTTACCACATGACTTTGCATTTTCTGTCCATCAGCCTCCTCAGGTGGAGAAGGGGTAAGGTTCTCCATGGCCCAAACATCTGTCAGTGACGTACAGTTTGTGGCTGGAAAGGGAAAGGTAGAGAATTTGCAGTCATTATCAGAGCACCACACACGCTGAAACAGATTTTCTTAGAGTTCAACATTCATTGTTAAAACCAAAACTGGAAAAGACTTGTAAGCCATCAATCCAAAGCTCTGCTCAGGACTGGAAGTTAAGAGTATTTCCATAGTAGCACAGTTACTTCTAGTAAGAAAAGTCTAGTTAGAGAGAATTCCATCGTTTTTACAATATAGGAATGCCCAAAGAGGATCTTTTTTTTTTTTTTTGCTAATTTACTCATTTGATGGAAGACCAGTCAATTCAGCTTGATCTGATTATATTGGCTAATATGTACAACTATTTGATTACGATGTTCTATATTAATATATTGGATATATTGCATTCTCTGGAACAACAGTAGTTTCCGAAGGACAACACAGCACACTTCAGCACAAAAAAATTGTGCAAATTTCAGTAAATTGTTTAAAACAAATAAATAAACATAGTTCGCACCTGAACATCACACAAAAACTTCAGTAATATGGAAATGCCAGTGATTAGATTTGGATTATGATTCAATTTTGAAATATTGATTGGTTTCTCTTCAAAACGAGGTTTTGATGATTAATGTTAAACTAATGTGAAAAGAACTAAGTTAAAAACCCTGAACTGTTTGGGGGCTGTATCAAACCAGATAGTTATAAATGTACAAATGTCAGACTTGGTAATTCCTCTGTAGAACTGTATCAGCAGTTTCTTGGGCAATTGAACATCTTGAGGTGGTGTCTTCTTGACCTATTTCACCATCTGCTGGCAAGATCTGGCTTTTCAGTTGTTTTTCAGTCATAATCTGGGTATCAAAATACAAGTGGGGGATGCTGATGACTTAGGTCACATCCCCCTCTGATGGTACTGAATAATGTTGCATGTGCATTTTAAAATTTCAGCTCTCTTTGTTGCAACCATCTCACTCTGGAGAAATCCTGAAGATGGTAGCACAACCAAAGAAATGCCAAAAGGCGCCTTGTTTCTCCCTCTTCCTCCTCCAAATAAAATACAGGATATAAAAGGTCACGACTGCCAGCCGAGCTCAGATGTGAAGGCTGTTACTAAGCATTCCTGATGCTCACAAGTCACTTGAGAAGAAAAACAGAAGTGAAAATGTCTTCGGCTTTCCAGATGCTCAAAATGGTCACTGGGAAATAAACTCATTTTTGGTTAGAAGAAGAAAAAGAAAATAAAAGATCTTCTTAAAAGAAAAAAACTCATCAAATCAACACTTGTGATGACATGCAAGGCAATCTGATTACTTTCTCCCTATTATTTTTTTAAGTAAAGAATTCTGTATCGGAGTGAGTTGGATTGAATGCATTATTGCTGTGGCATTTTGCTTTATTAAGAGTTTTATTTTTTTTCTATAATGATTTGTTAAATTTATATACTGCCTAATTCCCATGGGAGTTGATTATACTTCTATTGTATATGAGTTATGGACAGGCTCTTTTGATTGCAAGGGAATGCAAGTCCAAGAAATAAATAAATGGACTTCAAAGAGGATAGAGAAAGAAGGAATGAAGGTTTAACTTATCTACAGTATGGTGCCAAGCATCTTGTTCTTTATCCATGGTTTGTTTGTTTTTTGCAAGTTGGACTTCTGAATTTCATGTGTTTGTGGGGGTTTTCATTATATGTGAGGACAAAATGACCCACAGAATTTTGCAAAATGTGTAAAGTAGGTATCTTTACATTTTCCTTATCTATGTTGAGACTGAAACAAGATCCAATGAATAACAATGACCACTTGTAGAATATTTGTAGCTCAAGGTTGAAATGAGGGATCCTTGATGCTCTCTGAACTTGTTGTTTTTCTTGAAGATGTTTCATTATCCAAACTAGGTAACATAATCAGTGTTAGGGTTTTCCCTCGACAAGCGTTGATCATGTTACCTAGTTTGGGTAATGGAACATCTTCAAGAAAACCACCAAGCCCAGAAGGCACCAAGGACCTCTCATGTTGTTCAAAACTAGTTGGGTGGAGGATTGCTATCACAAGGTTGTGAGGTGTCCAAGGGATTTCTGGGGGCTGTGATGATGAACCATTAATTTAATAGTTGTTCCAATATCTAAGGAACTGCCACAAAGAAGAGGGGGTCAACCTATTCTCCAAGCCACCTGAAGGCAGGACAAGAAGCAACGGATGGAAACTAATCAAGGAGAGAAGCAACCTAGAACTAAGGAGAAACTTCCTGACAGAACAATTAATCAATGGAACAACTTGCCTCCAGAAGTTGTGGGTGCTCCAACACTGGGAGTTTTTAAAGAAGAAACTGGACAGCCATTTGTCTGAAATGGTATAGGGTTTCCTGCCTGAGCAGGGGGTTGTACTAGAAGACTTCCAATTCCAATTTTGTTATTTTATTTATTTATTAAATTTCTATGCCACCCATCTCACTGATAACGATGATTCTGGGCAGCTGGTGATAAAATGTGAGAAAGTGCTAGAACTTAATTAAAGTTAGAAAATGGAATAGAAAAAAAACTTTGAGTTGCTAGAGGTTGCTCTGCAGCTGGAAAAAAAAAAAACCTTAAGGAGAGATTTTGCTTTTCAGAAGCAACGTGCTGTAGAAATGGGAAGGACAGTTTTTGTCTCACTTCTCCATCAGAAGGTATCACTGTGAAACGTGTTGCTGTGCCAGGTGGCACAATAATAATCAGCCTCATCTTCGCTCATAACTCCAGAAATGGTTAAATAGCTGGTATTTGTGGAGGTGTCTTTGGAACCGGAGAATCGAGAGGGAACCCCAGACTCTTGTCCCTTGTCCGAATCTGTGTGGTAGTGTAAGAGAAATCGTGGAGAACTTGGAGACTTCTGTTGGTACCAACGTATCCTGTAGCTGCCAATGCTGAGCCCACCGCCCAAGATGCAGGCCAGTTTCGCTGTGTTTCCTAGGGACACTGAGGCTGATGGAGGCTGAGACACAACACTCTGTGAGGTTGATCCTACAGGAAAACAAAAAGAAAAGTTTTACAGACTTTTAGTTCATGAGTTACAGCTATTTGAAAGCAATTCCATATAACATGATCTCACCTTTGGACCACACCACCAAGATACTAAGACAAAGAGCCCAGAACATAGTGATGAAGTTTGGTGGCCCAGAAGAAGAGTAAATAGATCCACCATGGAGATGAAATTGTGTCTCCTCATCTTTTATATCCTTCTTGCTTGTTTTGGTGGAGCAGAAATCTCCTCCTTCATGTTAATGAGGTGCTACTTAAACAGTTCCTGAGATATGCTTCTCACTCTAATTTGGCTGGATGCTTGTCACCCTGGCTTCTCTCTCTCTCTCTCTCTCTCTCTCTCTCTCTCTCTCTCTCTCTCTCTCTCTCTCTCTCTCTCTCTCCTTCCCTCCCTGCCTCTCTCTCTCTCTCCCTCCCTCCCTCCCTCCCTCTCTCTCTCCCTCCCTCCCTCCCTCTCTCTCTCTCTTGTGAGATCTATAACAGGGGTCTTCAAACTTGACCCTGTTATGACCTGTGGACTTCAATTCCCAGAATTCCTCAGCCAGTGTGCATGCTGGCTGAGGAATTCTGGGAGCTGAAGTCCACAAGTCATAAAAGGGCCAAGTTTGAAGGCCCCTGGTCTATAGTTTTCATGTGTTGATCACTGATGAACAATTATGATGAACAAGTATTAAATGTATTGTAGAGTGCTAGAGATAGGAAGGCATTCTTGCAGCAAGCATAGATACTAGTCCTTGAATCAGGCAATGCATTCCTCTCCTTTGGGGTAGGGATTCAATAAACTGATGTGGGGTTAGAACATAGAATAATAGGGCTGGGAGGGACCTTGGAGGTCTTCTAGTCCAACCCCCTGCCCAGGGCAGAGTTCTGTGGATAGAGGTCTATTGTTGTCCAGAACTGAATGTCTTAATCAAATGTCTCACTGTAGCCTGCTGCCATTGAGACCGAAAATGAATCAAAACTGAAAGGTGAATTTAAAACACATGTTAGGGCTTGGAAGAATTGGTCTGAGCCACATGTAAGAGCCAAGCAAGGTGCCTTTTGTCTAGCAAATAAAATTGCCCATCAATTTTCAAGCATCTGGATAAGCCTGAAAAAGCTATCCCATGCTTTAACTTTATCAAACTGACTTCTTAAAGTTCAGGCATCCATTTTTAGACTTTTAGACTTTAGAAGCTGGGAAAAAATGTGGGCTGCTTTAATGAAGATGAGGGACATTCTGTGCTGGTTCCTGCATTAATAACAGCATTGGAAGGGACCTTGAAGATCTTCTAGTGCAACCCCCTGTTCAAGCAGGAAAGCCTATACTATTTCAGACAAATGGTTGTCCAGTCCCTTCTTAAAAGCTTCCAGTGATGGAGCACCCACAACTTCTGAAGACCAGCCATTCCACTGATTAATTGTTCTCACGGTCAGGAAATTTCTCCTTATTTTTAGGTTGATTCTTCCTTGATTAGTTTCTGTCCGTTGCTTCTTGTCCTGCCTTCAGGGGCTTTGGAGAATAGGTTGACCCCTTCTTTTGGGGGGCAGCCCCTCAGATATTGGAACACTGCTATCGTATTTTCCCTAGTTCTTCTTTTCACTACACTAGACAAAGCCAATTCCTGCAACACTTCTTCATATGTTTTAGCCTCCAGCCCCTTAATCATCTTTGTTGCTCTTCTCTGTACTCTTTCTAGAGTCTCAACATCTTTTTTCCATCGTGGTGACCAAAACTGGATGCAGTATTCCAAGTGTGGGCTTACCAAGGCATTGTAAAGTGGTACTCATACTTACTGTGTTTCCATCCATTGCTCCCTGTCCTGTCTTCAGGTGCTTTGGAGAATAGCTTGACTCCCTCTTCTTTGTGGCAGCCCCTCAAATATTGGAACACTGCTATTGTGTCTCCCCTCGTCCTTCTTTTTCTTATCTGGATATAGAACAGCAAGCACTTATGCTCAAGGCTTGGTTCACATCCCCCTGTGATGATTCTGAATGGTATTGCATGCTCATCTTAAATTTCCAACTTTCATTTTCAATCAAACACTTGCAAATGGGTGCTTTTCCCCCCCTGCTCTGGACAGATCCTGAAGGTGGCAGCAGACCCAAAGAAATTCCATGGACACTTTAGTTTTCCATCTTCCTCCTTCAAATAAAACAGAGGAGTTAAAAAAAGGCACAAGACAGCCAGCAGACTTGAAGGCTGTTACTAACCATTCCTGATGCTTCACAAGTCACTTAAGCAGAAAAACAGAAGTGAAAATGTCTTTTGCTACCCAGATGCTAAAAATGGTCACTGGGGAATAAACACCTTTTGGTGAGCAGAAGAAAAAACAAAAGCAAGAGAAAAGTTCTTCTTAAAAGAAAAACTCATCAAATCAACATTTGTGACTATATATAGGCCAAACTGGAAAGGAAGTGACGTAAACATTGGTGATTGTATATATAGCCCATCTTGCCACCTTAACAATACATTTTTTTAAAAAAAAATAATAATGGACATTCTTGTATTCTTAGGCGAAGGATGGATTTCTTGGAAGCCCTGTGCAGAATTGCAAAAAATTGACTAGGAGGGCCAAATTCTTCAGGGAATAACATACCAATAAAATGTGACATGTCCTGGGTATGGGCAGGTTAAAATCCATTCTTTATTTTTTTATAGATTTGAGGGATATGATTTAATATAATGAAGATTGTATGTATTGCTGCCTACAATTTTATCTATCTATCTATCTATCTATCTATCTATCTATCTATCTATCTATCTATCTATCTATCTATCTATCTATCTACCTAGTTACCTATCTCTATCTATCTATCTATCTATCTATCTATCTATCTATCTATCTATCTATCTATCTATCTATCTATCTATCTATCTATCTATCTTCTATCTCTGTCTGTCTGTCTGTCTGTCTATCTATTTTCTGTCTTCTGTCTGTCTGTCTGTCTATCTATCTTCTATCTGTCCATCCATCCATCCATCTATCTATCTATCTATCTATCTATCTATCTATCTATCTATCTTCTATCTATCTATCTATCTATCTATCTATCTATCTATCTATCTATCTATCTACTATCTATCATCTCTCTCTCTCTCTCTCTTTCCTATCAACCTATCAACTTGTCCACATACAATACAGCTTCCAATCTTGCAATTAAAATATTAAATAGTTTGAAAGCTGTCATTACAGGGCAGACCTTTGGATACAATGAAAGGATCAGGAAACAACCGCAAAGCTGTACTATGATATTATGAACTATCGGTGAAGTCTCCAGAGACCTGTGGGATTTTCCTAAGCATCTACTTCTATGAAACCACATAACTTCTAAAGCTGAACGTTTGAAGCCCAAACCACAGGAAAACACCAAGCCATTCTCTAAGGACAGCAGAACCCATCAGCCTTATATTAATGTTGTTTCAAGGGATTGGATTTACCATTGTATTTTGCTCCACAGAGTCTCCACCCATGGAGAAGATGTGAAGTCAGGTAGAGTGGCTTTTTAGAGATTCTTCTTACAGAATATGAAGCTGGAAATAGGTATTTTTATTTGCATGCATGACAGATAGCATTAGGATTTATTTCATAACAGTAATCAGTTTCTTATTTATTTATTTATTTAATTTTATTTATATGCCGCCCAATCCCAAAGGACTCAGGGTGGCATACAAAATTAAAACAATCATCTAACAATAAAACAATAAAATAATACAATCATACAGCGTGTCCGATCATATCCCCCCCCCCCGGGGACATCAGCCCCAGGCCTGCCAGAACAGGAGAGTTTTAACGGCTTTCTTAAAGGCCGGCAGGGTGAGAGTAGTTCAAACCTCGGGGGGAAGTTGATTCCACCAGGTCGGAGCCACCACAGAAAAGGCCCTTCCCCGAGGGCCCGCCAGCCGACATTGTCTGGCCGATGGGACCTGAAGGAGGCCCAATCTGTGGGACTTCACCGGTCTCTGGGAACTGTGTGGCAGTATGCGGTCCTGTAAGTAACCTGGCCCTATGCCATGAAGGGCTTTAAAGGTGATAACCAACACCTTTACTGGCAAGGCTCCTGTTTAAGATAAATTAGCTGGTTTATGGAGGTCATTTTGGAAGCAGAGAGATGGGAGGGCATGCTGAAAACCATATTTGAAAACAACATATTTGTGGCAGAATCAGGATTTTTCAGTTCACCAAGGTTGAGATGATAACGCTGCCATCAGTGCATCCAAGTGTAGAAGGCCAGGTGGATGGTAGGTTGAAGGCAGAAGCCAGCTCAGGGGGGAGTTTTTGTCTCACTTCTGCATGCAATTGTATCACTGTGGATACCACCAGTTGCTTCCACTGCTGTAACCACCACCACAATAGTAATCAGCCTCATCTTCAGCCTGGAGGTTTGTAACGGTTAAATAGGCTGCATTGGCAGAGGTGTCCTTGGACCCCGTAAACCGGCCATTTCTGTTGTCATTATAGAGAAGATATTTGGGACTTTCTCCAGCCTTCTGTTGGTACCAAGCTATGGCATAGCTGCCCACTTGGCTGTCTCGGCTCATGGCACATGGGATCTTTGCCGGTTGTCCCAGGGGAAAGGATTGTGCCGCAGGCTGAGTCAAGGTGTACTGTGAGTTGGTTCCTGAAAGTAGAAAAGGAAGAGAAGGGAAGATGACATGGAGGATTCCTGAGTCACTCTTCACTGAGAACCGGATCCTGGAGAATGGATAGTTCCCAAAGTTTGTGTTCTTGCTCACATTATTTGGGGAAGATGCTCGTATTGGGTGGTCCTTCGCTCACCTGTGCACCAGATCCCCAAAACGATGATCAGAGATGCAGCCAACATGTTGAGGACTTCTGGCCTTCTGGAGATTGAGCTAGTGTGTTGATGCAAGTGAACTTTATTGGGGGGCTGTTTAGATCAAGCCTCCTTGTTGGTGGATCTGTTTGCATGCCTGGCTCCTCCTCCTGCTTTTCTGACTTCTCATTGGTCCATGTCTTTCACAGAGTAGATCTGCCAGACAGGAAATGCTTCAAAATTTCCTTCTCTGGAATTATGATAGAGATGCTGTGATCCTGGGCTACTCAGAAGAGAATCCTTGATAGTGTCCCATTCAAGCTTTGACCAGCTCTGACCCTGCTTAGCTTTTTCAGGATTAGCCATGCACAATCCTGTGGTATAGATGGGTGTATCAGCTCATTTGAACTCAGGTGGAGTGTGGAAAAAATAAATAGTGTTCCTAAGTTCAGTGTTCTGGTTTAAGACTTTGGGCTTCAGGGGACTTTAATGATCCTTCTGGATTGCAGTAATCTTAGAGCTAGCTCTGAAAGGATTTTAAGATCTTTATTAAAGGTTGGTAGGCTAGTGGAAGAGCTCCTCCAGGTGGTCAGGGAGAGCAGAAGACCAGCTAATTTTCTCTTTCTGGACTGAATCTTCTTCTCAAAACATGCTCTTTTAAAAAAAAATGACTAAATACGTGAATATTCCATTAAAGGTAGATGTTCCCTTGTTCCTGTGTAGGCAGCAACCAATGGCATGGGGCACAAAGTAGACATCTTTTGGGAGTCTGTTCCATGTGAAGAAGGAATTAAACTGAAATGAATTTTGAAGTCTTCCAGATTTCTCTTCTAACACTTTGTTTTGTGTTAAAGATGGTTAAAGGACCTTTTAAGAACTTCGTTTGTGATTTTTTTTTTCCCAAGCAGCCTTATGGCTCTCTGAATCTCAAGTGATTGCAGCCATCCCCACAGTGGGATTTAGAAAGCTTGAAAGAAGAGAAATGATGGTCCTGCTATGAGTTCAGTTCCTGTCTGAAGAGAGTATTGAGGGAGACAAGCCCTTCACAACTCCTAGCTGATGGACCTGTCCATGAGTGCTGTGCAGGGTTCAAAGAGGAATTGTTTGCATCAAACATGGCATCAAGTCAAGCAGAGAAATGAGCCGAACAAACCTTTATCTCAAGTGGTATAGGGTTTCCTTCTTGAGCAGGGGATTGGACTGGATGACCTCTAAGATCCCTTCCAACTCTGTTATTCTGTTATCAAGGGAAGTCTCTGTCTGCTCTTCATAAAGAACTGGCCAGCTTCATGGAAGCTCCTGTCTCAACCTTGTCCCTGGGGATGTTGCTTGAAGAACTGAGAACTCTAAAAGGACTCTTCAACGCTGCTGCTCCTTCTTGCATTGGGAGGTTTTTGTCTCAGTTCCTCTTGGGTTTGTATCACTGTGGAACACGCTACTAGCACCATAACACACACTACAGTAATAAACAGCCTCATCTTCTGTCCCTGATGGTCAAATACCATTTATTTTGGTTGTTTTCCTTGGAGGCACAAATCTTTTAGATCTTCCTTTATGTTTCTTCTCACAGACTTATAGGTGTGTGAATCTCAAGCTACTGCAGCCATTACCACTCTGGGTTCTAGCAAGCTTGAAAGAAGAAAGATGATGGTCCTGCTATGGGTCTAGTTCCTGTCCGAAAGGGAGAGTTGTGCAAGCTAGGCAACTTATTTGGGGGAAAACACTCTTGTCAGCCCAAGAGATGTGTGTTGAGTGGGAGAAGCCCTTTGCAACTCATAGTTTGTGGAATTGTCCATGAGTCATGGGCAGGGTTCATAGAGAGATTCTTTGAGTCAACCGTGACATGAAGGGAAGCCTCTGTCTGCTCTTCACAAAGAACTGGCCAGCTTCATCGAAGCTCCTGTCTTAACCTGCGAGAAAAGGGATGTTGCTTGAAGAGTTGAGATCACTAAAAGGACTTTTCGAAACTGCTGTTCCATCTCACAGTGGGTTTTTTGTCTCAGTTCCTCATAGGTTTGTATCACTGTGGAACACGCTACTAGCACCATACCACACAGCACAATAATAAACAGCCTCATCTTCTGCCTGGACATCCCTGATGGTCAAATACCATTTATTTTGGTTGTTTTCCTTGGAGGCAGAGAAGCGGCTGAGGTCTCCAGAGCCTGCGCTTGCACTGGTGTAGTAATAATAAAGGAATCTGGGAGGACCTCCTTCTTTTTGCTGGTACCAGGACTGTTCATAAGATGTTACTTGTCCACTACTCAGGGAACAAGAGAACTTGACCGTCTGTCCTTGGGAAGGTGACATGGAGGATTCCTGAATCACTGTAGGCTGAGAACTGGATCCTGGGGAAAGAATGAAGCTCTAGGTTTGTGTTCTTGGGTTGATAACATAAACAGGGATCTTGTATTAGGTGGCCCTTCACTCACCTGTGCACCAGATCCCCAGAAGGACAATGAGAGATGCTGCCAACATGTTGAGAAGTTCTCAAGCTTCTGGAGATTGAGCCCCTGTGTTAAAGCAAGTGGACTTTATTGGGGGCTCCCAAGATCAAGTCTGCTTGGTTCAGAAACTATTTGCATGCTTAGCTCCTCCTCCCTCTTTCCTGACTTCTCATTGGAGCATATCTTCCATCAGAGATGGACTTTCAGACAAGTGATGCTTTTCAATTCCCTTGGCTGAAGCTATCTTAGAGACGCTGTGATGCTATACTTCAGAAAGGGGAGTCCTTGGTCGTGTCCCATCCAAGCTTTGACCAGCTCTGAGCATGCTTAACTTTTTCAGGATCAGCCATGTACAATCATATATCCAGATGGGTGCATCAGCTCATTTGGACTCAGGCAGAGAGTGGGAAACAAATAGCGTTCATAATTTCAGTATTCTGGTTTTAGACTTTGGGCTTCAGGAGCCAGGGCTGATCCTTCTGGATTGCTCGCAAGGGAATAGAATTTTATTTCCTTAACTTTGAAGATTTCAGAAAGCCAAAGGGCTGGTGTCCATCCAGGAGAGCTTATTCATGTCTCTGCCATCACCTATGATTGTGAAAGCAGCTGCTCTCTCTGTCCAAATTCATTCAAATATCTCCAGTTCCTTGAAATTTTTGCCTTAAGATTAAAGCAAAGGGGTGCATCTGGTAGAAGTAAAATTAAGTTGTTGCTTTTTGCATCAGATGTTCTGCTCTCAGTTCCTTTAAGGTGGAGTGCAGTGGAGCAGCTCCTCCATGTGGTCACGCAGAGGAGAAGATCTGCTAATTTTCTCTTTCTCACCTATCCCAAAGATGCTTTTTCCAAAAGGCCACTGGAGTTTCTTGGGGGATTTTTTTTTTTTTGAAAACTTTTTGCTTCTCATCAAAGAAGGGATCTTCAAGGTCCCTTCCAACTCCGCGGTTCTGTTATTGAAAAAACAGAATTTTGGGTTCACCAAGTCTGAGATGATAACACTACCCCCTCTCAAACCGTCAGTGCATTAAAGTTTACAAGGCCAGGTGGGTGATGAGTTCAGAGCAGAAATAAACATTTCTGAGTTCTTGATTTGATCTCTGAGCTTTGATTTGATCTCCACATCCCACTTTTTAAAAAGAAAAGTGCCATGTAATGGTTAAAGGTCATAGATCAGAGAGAAAAGAAGGACCAGGAACAACATGACAGCACCTTCCAATACTTGAAGGGCTGCCCCAAGTTGTTTACCAAAGAACCAGTAGGCAGGACAAGAAATAACGGGATGGAAGCTAACCAAGGAGAGAAACAACCTAGAACTAAGGAGAAAATGCCTAACAATGAGAACAATTAACCAGTGGAACAAATTGCCTTTGGAACTCGTGGGTCCATCATTGGAAGCTTTTACGAAGAGATTGGCTAGACATTTATCAGAAATAGTATTATCAGGAATCAGAGATGTTCCCTGAAGATGGACTCAAGCACAAATCCAAAAGCTTAGAAGACTAAACCCTCTGGTCCCAGGGACCGACCCAGACTGGATCCTGCACCATTATCCTGGCTCACCTATATTAGCCTTCATTCATCAAGAGATCTGTTCATGTTCGTCCGCAGAAACCCCCAGGGTGACTATGGTCCTCTCAATCTTTCTTGGCCAAATTTGCATCTTCTTCTGCTTTTGAAGACCCCATTGGTCTTTCCCTGGAAGTCAAACGTCTCATATAATTGAAATATAGACTGTAAAGTTTTTTTTTGTTTTAAAAAAAATCAACCGAGGAACAAACACAGATTTGAAGTTGTATACAAATCCATATTTTAAATTATAGTCCAAACAGGATTTTGGGTTCAAGATGGATTCTACATCAGATTTCCTATCTAAATAGCAGTTCTTTCCCTGATGGAAATGCATCCCCATAAAAACATCAATACCAGCCTAGCCGCCTTTTATTTTCCTTCCCAGGAGAAATATGTGTTATCTTTTGAAATTTTAATCACAGGGGGAAAGCATGGTAAAAAATGAATGAATGCAATACTTTTTATTGTAACCGTGCTGAAGATTGTGAATGGATTCCTGTCATTTTTCATTTTACTCAAATGTGAAGCAGGACATGGCCTTTATTTTTAGCAAGCCTGAGAGATGAACCGAGTCTATTCTTAAGAACTAATTGTGTGTTTCCCAGGCCAGGTTGATGGTTTGTTCGGGGCAAGAAGGAAGTGTTCTCAAGTAAGCACAATGGGAGGTTTTTGTCTCACTTCTACAAGTGAGTGTATCACTGTGTATACCCCCAGTTGCTGCCACTGTCATGAATACCAGCACAATAGTAATCAGCCTCATCTTCAGCCTGGAGGTTTGTAACAGTTAAATATGCTGCATTGGCAGAGGTGTCCTTGGACCCCGTGAACTGCCCACTGCTGCCGGTATTATAGAGAAGGTACAGTACTTGGGTCTCTCCAGCCTTCTGTTGGTACCAATATATGTAATAGCTGCCCACTTGGCTGTCTCGGCTCATGGCACACGGGATCTTTCCCAGTTGTCCCAGGGGAAAGGATTGTGCCACAGGCTGAGTCAAGGTATACTGTGAGTTGGCTCCTGAAAATGAAAAAAGGGAAGCGAATGAAGGTGGACATTGTATAGATCTGCTATTGGAGGTTTTTTTTTGAAGAGCTGCTCAGATTGAAATCCAGACATCACTGAATTTCATTGGGTTGGAAGGCATGGAAGGTGTGGTAGTTTTGATCTCAGGATCAAACCACAGTTCCAGCATGAAGCAGATACTTTCTAAGTCTTGACTGCTGGCACAGATAAATTCAGAGGTGAGGACAGGGAAATTTCCTGTACACCATAGGAAGAAGAAGGTCAAGAGCAGGGACCAGGCCATGATGGAGAAGTGAGCTTTCTGAGAAACTCAGATTGGGAGATTGACATGGTTCTTTTAAACCCGTGGGAATCTGGGCCCAGCCCTTTATGCAAAATCAGCTTGCATCTCGTTAGCTGGCCCTGGATAAGAAGAATTGCACTTGAAGGAAAGAGATGGTTTCCTGCTCCTCTTTTTATATCTTGTCTCACTCATTTTTCTTGGACTCTTGGAGATATTTAGGTTGACCATGTTGTAGTAGCTGGTTTGGTGTAAGATAACAATAGTAATAGCAATATGACTTAGACTTATATACTGCTTCAAAGTGCTTTGCAGCCCTCCCTAAGTGGTTTACAGAGTCATCCTCTTGCCCCCAACAATCTGGGTCCTCATTTTACTGACCTCAGAAGGATGGAAGTCTGAGTCTTCCTTGAGGCAGTGAGAATCGAACTGCTGGCAGTTGGCAGAATTAGCCTGTAAATACTGCATTCTAACCACTGCGCCACCACAGCTCTTGGTCTCCATGGACCTCTTTCTGTCCTTATATATGATGGATAGATCTTTCTCAAGATCTATTGAAATCTACAAACAGCCTTTCTCCCCATCTTGTTTCTTGAACTACGGATTTGCGAAATTCAGACACAAACTTTCTTAAAGCAGTGGTAAAGTTTTCTAAGTTCTTATCCCACCAGGAATATATCCCCAGTGATTTGGAGTGTGGGGGGGGGGCTTGTCACCATTTATGCAAATGGAATTGTTGCCATCCCTCAGTCAAACAAAAAAATCCTGCAGAATTTTGAAAAATGGCACTGTCAAATTTGTGTATTAGCAACTGCATTCACACAGCTCATTTGAACTTGAGCATTTTCCGTAGCATGTTGTCTGAATGCAGCCATTGGTTTGCAATGCTGCCTACTGAAATGTTTTGTATTAAAACAGTGACTGAATTATTCAGGGAAGGTGCTGAATGAAATAGCCTATAAGAAAGTGTCTTTCTGGATATGGTCTTTCCCAATGGGGTCTTTCCCAGTGGGAGATTGGAGTCCCCCCATGCAAGTATGTAGTGATGCAACCAGAAAAACAATTTCAAGTGTTCTCTTCAGTTGCAACAGGTGGGAAGCCAAGCAGAGCAAGAAGAAGCAAAACTGGGCAGGAGGAAGTTGAGGTGATGCCCTGCCTGATGGTTCTGCTCCAACATCCAAAACATGATGCAGACATCTAGAACTTCTAGAGCACTCAGATGGATCCAAAGTGGAAGCAGGATGCATGGAAAGGAATGTTTTCCTGCATAAGGTGCTTAGTTGCCATTAGGCAACAACTCAACAGTGCAGGGAAAGTTCTCCTACATTCCTCCAGATGATTTACATGTCAAGAAAAAGTGAAGAGACAGACATCTAGAACTTCTAGAGCAATCAGATGGATCCAAAATGGAAGCAGCATGCATGGAAAAGTAGACTTTCCTGCATAAGGTACATCATTGCCATTAAGCAACAGTTCAAACATAGGAAAGTTCTCCTGCGTTCCTCCAGATGATTTACATGTCAAGAAAAAGTGAAAGGACAGACATCTAGAACCTGTAGAGCAATCAGATGGATCCAAAGTGGAAGCAGGATGCATGGAAAAGTAGACTTTCCCGCATAAGGTACATCATTTCCATCAAGCAACAGTTCAAACATAGGAAAGTTCTCCTGTGTTCCTCAAGTTGATTTCCATGTCAAGAAATGTTGTTTCTGTAAAAGTGTGAAGGGAGGGGAGAACCACAGGAAGATCATGCCTTGGAGGGTTAGGGAGGCCAGGAGTCATAAGGTAGACTTCGCCCCAGAAAGATTCTTGGTTTGGCATTCTTTGTCTCTTGAAGCCCTTGAAACAAGGAGATCTTCCTTTTTTTTTGGTATGGTTGAGCTTCTCCAAGCCAGCCCAGAAGGTTGAATGCCTCAGAAGCAGGTTTTTGTCGCACTTCCCCCTTAGTTTGTATCACTGTGCACTGGCTACTGTCATACACCTGGCAGTAGTATATGGCCTCATCCTGAGCCTGGGCCCTGGAGATGCTTAGGGTGGCCGTGTTGCCAGAGTTGGCACCTGAGAATCGATCTGAGATCCCTGTAGGCCTGCTGCTATCACCATATATAATCAGAACAGGAGGATTCCCGGGTTTCTGCTGGTACCAGTGAACACTCTTTCTTCCAATGCCATTTCCTGAACAAGCGATCCTTTCATTCTGTCCCAGGGAGACAGACATGGATGACGGCTGGGTCAGGACATACTGAGCAAAGGATCCTATGCAAAGAAACAAACAAGGAAATTTTAAAAAAATGTCTTGGGTAAAAGAGCATTTTCACTCGATGAAACATCTAACCAATAGCCCCACTCCTTGTACAGCACCTGAGGCATTCACGAGCAACGAGAGAAGGAAGGGAGCCCAGAACATGATGCAAACTCTGATGCACTTTCCTTCTGAGGGCCCAAAAAAAAAAAAAAGGTCATCTGCTTCAACTCTTGGGCTTTCCCTTTTAAAGGTCACACATTTTGTGGCCAGCCCACAGATGCAAAGCATTTGCTTTGAAGTAGAAGATATAATAGTAGAAGAGAGCACTTTAGTTTGAGTCTGCTCACTGCCAGGAGTTGGATCCTGACCGGCTCAAGGTTGACCCAGCCTTCCATCCTTCTGAGGTTGTTAAAATGAGGACCCGGATTGTTGGGGGCAATGTGCTGACTCTGTAAACTGCTTAGCAAAGTACTATGAAGTGGTATACAAGTCTAACTAAGGAGGATTTTTTCTTGACAGTGAGAACAATTAATCAATGCAATAGCTTGCCTCCAGAGTTGTGGATACTCCATCACTGGAGGTTTTCAAGAAGAGACTGGACAGCCATTGATCCAGAACGATATAAGGTATAAGGAGTCCTGCCTTGGGCAGAGAGTTGGACTAGAAGTCCTCCAGGGTCCCTTCTAGCCCTATAATTCTATGATTCTCTGTGTACAATCATTCTATGTTGTATGTTTGCACAATTCCCACTTAGTTCTCTGGAAGCAATTACACCAAAGCAGCACACATCAATCACTACAATGCAGCAGATCTCTTGAAAAATAACAACGTTTTACTCTCTGTTTTCACACTGAATTTTTTTGTGCTGGGCATCAATTGTCCCCAAATCAACATTACGCAATGACCTAACTCTCTGGAGATGTCAACAATGCTGGGAAAGGTAGAAGAAAAGAGGAGAAGAGGATGACCAGCATCAACTCTTACGGTGGCAATGGCTCAAGCATTGGAAGAGCTGAAGAACCAAGTTGAAGATACATAATGTTGGAAATTATCTATTTAGGTGGTCATTAACGTCAACTTCAACTTGATGGTATAATCAATTATACCCAGTTTGGTACCCATCTATCCATTGTAATCCTTCACTCTAATTGTGCACTACGTTAGTTAATGGGTAGTCCCTCCTTTTCACTCTGTTTTTGTTTCACTTCCTCCTCTGCCTGTTTCACTGTGGCCAGTGGTATGTGCTATCCCACCATAAGAGACAAAAGTAAACTGCCTCATCCTCAGCCTGGGCCTTGGCAATGCTTAACACAGCCGTGTTCCCCATTACAGAGCCTGAATATCGTTCTGAGATTCCGGCTGGCCTGGTAGCTCCACTGTAAATAATGAGCTTGGGTGGTTTGCCTGGTGGTTGTTGAAGCCATTGCTGAAGATTGGCGTGCATGTTATTCCCTGTGCAAGTGATCTGGATATGTTGTCCCAGAGGCACGGAGGTTGATTGGGGCTGGCTCACCAAGGGCGAACCTGCAGAGAGAAAGATGGGATTGAGAACCAAGCAAGGTTCCATTGGAGGAGAAAGAGATTTTCTTTTGCAATACCTGAGCAAATGTTGAAGGCCATGAAGAAGAGTGATAGCCAGATCATTATGGGCATCCAGAAAAAAAAAAACAACAACACAGTCTCTTAAAGCTCAGGATCTCCTCTAGTTCAGACCTTCTCTTTCCCTCTTAAACCTTGTGGAACCTCTGATCCAAGCTCATATTCAAATTATGAGCTCCTTAGAAAGCACCACCTCCCCTTCCCTCCTCCATTCTTGCAGAAGCTACAAAATCAAGGGAGGATCCAAATTCTTTATCAAGATTTGAAAGGAGGAGCTTACAGCTGAGCAGATGTTGCTCAAATACAACCCCAAAGCTTGTCTCAAGCTGTCATCCAGATGGGAGTTCATTCATAACTTTAGGGTGCTACAAGTACAGATAGTATATGCAGAAAAGGTCCTATCCCTTTGTGCTCCGAACCAAGAACCAATGGCTTTTGTTACAAAATGCATATCTTTGGAAATGTGGCAAGGGAAAGGGGAAACCAGAGGAGCTACGTCAGCTGGGGATGATGAGAGATTGTGGGTCAGCATATTTTGGAGAGGAACGAATTAATCGTGTTCAGGTTGAATGCAGGAAATGATAGAAGAAGAAGAAGAAGAAGAAGAAGAAGAAGAAGAAGAAGAAGAAGAAGAAGAAGAAGAAGAAGAAGAAGAAGAAGAAGAAGAAGAAGAAGAAGAAGAAGAAGAAGAAGAAGAGGAGGAGGAGGAGGAGGAAGAAGAAGAAGAAGAAGAAGAAGAAGAAGAAGAAGAGAAGAAGAAGAAGAAGAAGAAGAAGAAGAAGAAGAAGAAGAAGAAGAAGAAGAAGAAGAAGAAGAAGAAGAAGAAGAAGAAGAAGAAGAAGAGGAAGAAATAGTAGTCTTAAGAACTAATGTATAATTCAGGCATTCATTATATACATTATATTTATTCAGGTTTTTGTTTCCTCTCTGTTGAAGACTTCCAAAGGATGCAGGTGTTAGAATTTCACAGACTGTTGGATAGATATGCTTGACCAGGATTTTTTATGTAAGACCCAGGGTTGCAATAATACTCTGCATCTCATTACTTTGAGGGGTGTGCCCTCTGGCGTCTATATTAATCATGGCTATAAATGTTTTTTTTTTCTTTATTAGGGCTGGGCAACTATTCAGTACTTCAAATGACTTGAGATAGGGCAAATCAGCCCTTTGACTTCATCTACCCTGTCAAACATTGGAGTGAAAAGTATCCCTAGCTAGACAGCAGACAAGCCTTAGGCATTTCTGAAAGTAAAAAAAATAACCAGTAATAAATAATGAATATGAAGATTGGACATTAAAGAACGTGGACAGGAGGATTATTGAGGCTTTTGAACTCTGGTGTTGCAGAAGACCCTGAGAATACCATGGACAGTCAGAGAAAACAAACTAACAGATAATCGAATAAGCCTTTGAAGTTCTACTGCAAAATATCTATTTAACTGAATTCTGCCTTAAGCTACCTACAACTCAAGGACTGGGCTGCCCTATGTTAATTCCACATTCTTTTCACCTAGAAGTGGACTTAATGCTCAGTTAGATAATGTGCCAGATGAGGAAACACAAATAGGGGGAAAAAAGTCATATTAAGAACATTGAAAGGAGAGGAAAATTTGTCCAGGGTATAAAAAAATAATAATTTAGTTATGCTTTTTGTACTTGGTTTTTCAATTAAAAAAAAAACCAAAATAAAACAGTATTTGCATTTTGCACTACAGTAAAGCAGTAATATCAAGGGTGCCTTTAAAAAAAAGGTCTTCAGTATTTTATTTTATTTTTAAAAAAGCATAATGAATTTGAATGGCAACCTGGCCCAACAATGCTTACATTCCAAACAATGTAAAATTTGGACCATCCAAAGATGGGGCACTTTGAACCTTTGGCCTTATTTCAGCTAATTTGATAAAAAAAAATAATTTTTTTAAAGAAATGAAATCAGACCCCAGCCAGAACACATATGTCAGGTGTGTGTGTGGGTGTGTGTGTAAACAAAGGATAAAAAATGGGGGTCCAACTGAATCTTGGTTCTCATCTGATAAAAGTTCATCAATTCCTTCCAACTGCTTCATTCCATTTGCATCAGACCCAGTTCAGACTGAGCTCTTCAAGGGTCTGAAGATTCTTCTCTGCGAAGGAAGACGGTTTTTGTCTCAGTTCCCCATTAGATTGTATCACTGTGGAACACGCTACCACTGCTATACCACATGTAACAATAATAATCGGCCTCGTCTTCAGGCTGAAGGTTGGTGATGGTTAAGTAGCCATTGTTGCCTGACCGGGTTCCTGTGAATCGGTCTGGGATCCCTTCTCCCCTGCTGCAGCCATCACAATGCACAAAGCGAGGGGCTTCTCCAGATTTTTGCTGAAGCCAATAAATATAGTTTGGATTGCTGCTGATGGCACAGGGGAGTTTCATTGTTCCTCCTAGAGATCCAGACTGGGAGACGGGCTGAGTCAAGGTGGGCTGTGAAGTGACGCCTTTACAAAGTGGGGAAAAAAAGAGCAAATAATGAAGACTTGTTATATTATCTGGGCTTCCCAAAATCCCAGAACCATCATTTGGATGGACCATATTGGATTTTATATTGTGCAAACTAGAGAGTTTGTATTGGACGGTTTAAGAAGAGGTCCTCCACATACTTACATGAGAAATAAGTCAGAACTGAAAGGAAAAGCAGTGTCCAAGCCATGGTGCTTTCCTTCAAAAAGTCTCCCTTTCCCAAAACCAAAGAATGTCTACCTGGGATCCTTCTACCTCCTTACTTAAGTCCTTCTAGAACTGAAGGTCTATGCAAATATAGGTACATTGACTGACTTCCGTTGAATTGATTTTGACCAATGAGTGGAGAATACATTTGTATAAAAGGAATACTTAGCAAGATGCCTTTATTTAGGTTTTCTGTCACAATGTGGGACTTGAACAGAACAAGTTCTGTCAGACTTCCTTGGACAGTCCATTTCTCCTGCAGTAGAAAGGCAGCTAAAAATGTTTTTCCTGAACTTGTCCTGCTGCAATTGTGTTTTGATTGTAAAAAGTGTCCCATTGTCTTCATTTTTTTTACATCTCTCCATCTCCACCTGGCAATCTCTAACAATACCGTACAACCCAAGATTCTTTCATTTTTGTCTCCTTTTGTTTCCAATTTGATTCAACACAACATTACCCAGAAGAGCTGGTTTGTCTTTGATCACCTCCAGCTTGTCTCCTGTGAAGTTCTATGAAAAGAAAGGGTGGACTTTGATGATTGAACTCTAAAATCAGGGGATTCAGTTCCTCTACTAACAAATCATGTCACGTGCAGACCAACAAATCCTGCAAGGATTTATGATGAATCCTGGGCGAAACCTTCATTCCTTTAACACATTTCAGCCCAACAGGCTTGCTAGAGAATGCCAGACAACAATACACATAAACTGTGTAAAGGAACTTGTTTCATTGGAAATCTATAGGAATTTAAGGTAGACTAAGGTAGACATGGGAATATTCCTCAAAAGAGTTCCTGGACATAAAAAAAAAACTCTTCAGAGTTCTCCAACATTCTCCTCTACACAACACCTGCAATGTCACAAACTGAATTTACAGTTCATTTTCCTATTTTGACACCTGCATGAAGTATTTTTCAGCTGGTAGAATTGCTCAGTCTGTTGCACAAGGGAGAGTTTCATGAGTGTTGGCACAATGTTTGGTTCGGGGCATTTCTAGGAGGGTGGCACCCCCTGCTGCCAAGTCCTGTAACCATAACTGGAGGACACCTTCCTTCATTCAGAGAAAGACCAACACAACCTTTGAACATCTCCCTGCTCTGTGAAGGAAGAAGGTTTTTGTCTCAGTTCCCCATTAGATTGTATCACTGTGGGACACGCTACCACTGCTATACCACATGTTACAGTAATAATCGGCCTCATCTTCAGGCTGAAGGTTGGTGATGGTTAAGTAGCCATTGTTGCCTGATCGGGTTCCCGTGAATCGGTCTGGGATCCCTTCTCCCCTGCTGCAGCCATCACAGTGTACAAAGCGAGGACCTTCTCCAGATCTTTGTTGAATCCAACTAATGGTGTTTGGATTGCTGCTGATGCCACAGGAGATTTTAACTGTTCCTCCTAGAGACCCAGACTGGGAGACGGGCTGAGTCAAGGTGGGCTGTGAAGTGACGCCTTTACAAAGTGGGGAAAAAAGAGCAATTAATGAAGACTTGTTATATTATCTGGGCTTCCAAAAATCCCAGAACCATCATTTGGATGGACCATATTGGATTGTATATTGTGCAAACTAGAGAGTTTTTATTGGACGGTTTAAGAAGAGTCCTCCACATACTTACATGAGAAATAAGTCAGAAGTGAGAGGAAAAGCAGTGACCAAGTCATGATGCTTTCCTTCAAAAAGTCTCCCTTTCCAAAAACTAAGGAATGTCTACCTGAGATTCTATTATCTTCTTAAATAAGTCCTCCTCCATGGGAAGAAAGGTCCATGCAAATACAGACAACCTGATTGGCTCTCCTTGATTTTATCAGCCGCCCCGTTATCAGACTAGCCAATCTGGTCAAAGTAGATTGTTCAATTAGTGGGGAAGACATTTGCATCGGCTGAAGTCTTAAGAAGATGTCTTTATTTAGGTTTTTGTTCATAGTGCGGGACCTCAATGGGACAGTTTTTTTTTCAGATTGCCTTGCACAACCTATTTGCTCTGCTGCACAAGGGCAGCGAAAGGTGTCTTTCTTGAAACTCTTCTGCTGCAATTGTGTTTTGATTGTAAAAAGCATCCATTGTCTTTATTTACTTCCTCAGAATAATACCTCAGATGTCACAAACTCTTTATGCCATCTGATTCTCTTTCCTTTCTTGAGATCTGCACGAAGTGTTTTGCAGCTGGTGAAATTGCTCAGTCAGTTGCACAGAGCAGAGAGAGTGGTGGCACAAGATTTCTAAGAACATGCCCCCCCCCCTCCGCTGTCATATCCTGTGACCGTTCCTAAGGGACACCTCCTCCCATTCCAAATATATTTTAGAGAAAGTTAATTCCCTCTTTCCCTCTCAGAATAAATCAGGTTCTTTAATCTCCTTCACCCTTGCTTGAGTTGTGTCACCTGGATCTTCAGAGAAGACCGTGCAATCAGGAGTGGTAGAAATATAGGGGAGGAAACTAAGTAAACCTTAATCCCCACATGATTGTCTTATGCCTATAGTGCTTTAAATGGCAGAAGTACAGCTTATTTATGAGAGGGAAAGGAAAGGGGAGGGAAGGGGAGGGGAGGAGAGGAGAGGAGAGGAGAGGAGAGGAGAGGAGAGGAGAGGAGAGGAGAGGAGAGGAGAGGAGAGGAGAGGAAAGGAAAGGGAAAGGGAAGGATCAGGAGGACCTTCCTAAGACTTGAAATGGTGAAAATTCATCTTGGAGCTTCTTGATTAAACAATTGACTTCTCCCAATTGTTTTATTTTTTTCCACAGGCTAAGCATAATTGTTCAACTGAAGAATGCCAAGGTAGAGAATGAAATCAATGGCTTACTAAAAAAGAGTGAGAGGTATGAAAGAAGTAGGCATATATCACTATGTGTTTACAGTTATTGTTTTAATGCTGAGACAAAAAAAAATGTGGGCTGTTGTGTCTTGTCTTCCTGCATATCAAACTGATTATGGATTCTGCAAAATGGATCCTTGGCTCAATCTTTTCCTGAAAGAGATGACCTGTCGTGCACATTCAGTAGACCAGAGAGGGACTAACACAACCTTTGAACGTCTCCCTCCTCTGCGAAGAAAGAAAGTTTTTGTCTCAGTTCCCCATTAGATTGTCTCACTATGGAACATGCTACCACTGCCATACCACATGTGGCAGTAATAACTGGCCTCGTCTTCAGCCTGAAGGTTGGTGATGGTTAAGTAGCCATTGTTGCCTGACTGGGTTCCCGTGAATCGGTCTGGGATCCCTGGTCCCCTGCTGCTGCAGCCTTCACAGTGCACAAAGCGAGGACCTTCTCCAGATCTTTGTTGAATCCAACCAATGTAGTTTGGATTGCTGCTGATGCCACAGGAGATTTTAACTGTTCCTGCTAGAGACCCAGACTGGGAGACGGGCTGAGTCAAGGTGGGCTGTGAAGTGACGCCTTTACAAAGTAGGGGAAAAAAGAGGAAATAATGAAGACTTGTTATATTATCTGGGCTTCCAAAGATCCCAGAATCATCATTTGGATGGACCATATTGGATTTTATATTGTGCAAACTAGAGAGTTTTTAATTGGACAATTTAAGAAGAGTCCTCCACATACTTACATGAAAGTAAGTCAGAAGTGAGAGGAAAAGCAGTGTCCAGACCATGGTGCTTTCCTTCAAAAGGTCTCCCTTTCCAAAAACCAAGGAATATCTACCTGAGATTCTATTATCTTCTTAAATAAGTCTTCCTAGAATAGAAGAAAGGTCCATGCAAATACAGATTATCAGATTGGTTTTCCTTGAATTGATGAGCCACACCCTTATTAGACTAACTGATCTTTTTGACCAATGAGTGGAGAAGACATTTGCATAAAGGCAATGCTGAAGAAGATGCTTTTATTGGAGTTTTCTGTCATGTGGGAAACCTAGGAGAAAGGCATATAGAAGAATGAAGTTGGGTTGGGGAATTGAACAGGGCTGGTTCTTCCAGGAAAGAAATTGACATGACATAACTTCTTCATTGGTTTCCTCATCTTCAACAGCTACATGAACATCAAATGTGCAATAACCAGGGCTGTGTGAATGGACAGCTTCTGATCTGTCTTCTTGGTTTTGGTGATTAACTCCATAACCACTTTTTGAAGCTTCTGAGATCATCTGAAATTACTTGATTCAAATCCATTCAGATAACCTTTGTGCATGCACGCCAAGGATTCATATAGCTCACGAAATCGTTCTTCCAGATAGGATTGGTAAGGCCAACAAAGTGCTGGTTTAAACCTGATCAAGGCTGATTCACCAGTAAACAAGATCTTTCCTAGCTGGACGTCGAGGTACACAGATAAATTTGGCCAGTGTAAAATGAAAGGGAAATTCATTTCATTCATTCACGAAAAGGAAAGAATGAGAGTCTCAAATGTGCTTTTTCAAAAGGCAACTGAACTATGTTGTTGTTTTTTCCCCTTGAGGAAGGCATTTATCTTCTCATCCAAGATGCTTCTTCAGTTGTGACAACCATGACCTGGATGACTGAGAATTTCCATAGAAAGAAGGGGAGACACTTTAGAACCTGAATTTTTGGGACTACAGAATAGGAACTCTGTATAGGAAGGCAGGCTCTACTGGGAATTGGCCAAAAGTTTTGGTCAATAGCCCATAAATCTTGATGATGTTGGCCATGAAGAAGATAGCAAAGATAGTATCCATAGCGATAGGAGCTTGGGTGCAATCCTGAAACATCTGGAGCATTACCTGAACACTACTGACATTGATAAAATCACCACCAGTTAGAACAATTAACCAGTGGAACAACCTGCCTCCCGAAGTGGTGAATGCTCCAACACTGGAAGTGACTGGACAGCCATTTGTCCAAAATGGTACAGGGTTTCCTGCCTGAGCAGGGGGTTGGACTAGATCAGTGGTTCTCAATCTGTGGGTCGGGACCCCATTTGGGGTCGAACGACCATTTCATGGGGGTCGCCAAACAACGCAGTCCGCCATTTTTTCCCCTTTTCCTTAGCTGTGCTACTCCCTTTTATTCTATTGGCTTTTGAAAGCCAATAGAATAGACTCTCTTGAATAGAGTCTAATTCTATTGGCTTTCAAAAGCAATAGGAATTGTCCAGGC